CGTGTTTTTCCCACCCTTGACTCGGTTTCAGGAGGAGTGGGTCACTCAAATCGGAGTCGAGCTTGGTACATTAGAGTCCCGATGATTCGTGTCTCTCGGGAGGCAATATTTCAATATATATATAGGGGAGACGCGAATCGCGAGTTACCGGGATGGATATAATGCAATAACCTCAAAATTAGTCTACGTTTACTAGGTATAATTAACTCAAACGATATCACATTTCGATTATCGCAAATTTTCTGACACATTCGTGCTATGTTCAGAGGGTAATGGGAGCACGACACCGGGGGACTCTATCAGGGTGAGCGCGATCTAAAGGGTGAATCGAAGTACCGAACAATGTTTATCTGTTTTCGCTGAGACTAAATAGGTATCTTCGTTTCATTCTGATAGTGACCGAAGCAAGCAAGAGCTTTAAATGTACCGAAAAAGAGCATTTTTTTTCTTGACGCGGCCGCGAATCGGGTACGAATTTTCGCCGCGAATTGCGAATTATCGGGATTTCGCGCATCATTGGGTACATGCGCTGGAATCCAGTGTCGAATCGAATGGAATAGGATCTTAATCAAGGATAGAGACGTCTGAGGCTTCCCGCTAGAGAATCTCCACGTAGAGAATTTTCACGAATCATCGAAAGCGCGAATTATCCGGACTCTACTGTAGCATATTCACAATTCCAGCTCAGGTTGCCGCAGAACAACTTAATCCGTCCGCGCCTGACGGAGAACGATGGGTTTTCGATCAGTTCAGTTTTCGCTATTCGATTCCAGAGGTTGATGGAGGGAAATTTCTCATCGAAATGCGAGTTTCTCGCTTGACCATTGCTTTGCCATCCTTTTGCGCGAATATTTCTCTGCTGAAGAATCATGAACGATGACGCCGCAAAAGTCGAATATATCGCCTCCTCCCATCGATTGAGGGTCGCTGAAGGACACGTGATTCCGTAGTTTCTCGGGTATCTGGAACGTTGCTTTGGTTAGAGCTCGAACTTCCGTGACCTTGTTCAAATCCAGTTTGCTGCTGGTTGTACATACATATGTGATGGAGGTTCGGATCAGCGTGGCGGGGAGTGAGAATCTCTATGTCATATTCCTGGTTTTCTTGACGGATCTCGGAGAACTCCACGCGTTTATCATTAAAAGCAACGAGTGGAATGGCCGTAGAAGCGCCAGCCTGTGCACAGAAGGAAACTATCCCATTGCTGTCCCTTTTACTCCATGTGGAAATCTTTTTCTTCGATAGTACTCGGAACTCTTATTTCTTTCGAGACGGGCACATCCGTAAGTCGCTCGAATTCGAATATGACATACGAGCTCGGCTCTCTTTCCAGCTGTATTGAGTCAATGATCGTCGAGTCAATGATGCCGGTGCCCTGTTTCTTCTGATGTTCAAAGAATTCAGCGGATCAGTCTCTATGTGCAAGCTCAAGCGTCGAAGCTCCAGATAAACTTCTCGGGACCCATCCGATGCGTTCGACTGGGTGTCGCGGGAAAGCATTGGTTTCCCCTGGACAAACGAAGGCAACTGCCCAAATAGTCCTTCTATCCAACCACAACGCCTCAAACGTCTGCGTCTCCCTTAGCGCTTCGGATGATCCGACCTCGGCTCATACGCCGAGGTCGAATGGCTCTTTCATCGCCGTAAATGCCGATGATTACGATGAACTCACTCTCCATTAAAGCCCCGAATCAGCTCCCCAGCGATTCTTGCGGTTTCGGATTCGCGGTTTTGAAGCCGCTGACATCCCCACTCGCAATTATAAGAGCGAGAGAAAGATTGGTGCGATCGAATGCCCTCCAGAGCTCTGGTTCCGTTAGGGACCCGAAACTGAGATCGATCACGAAAGGGAGTGCATTGGATCGCCTGGTGTGAGCAGTTCAGAGCGGAACGCTCCAATCTCGTACGAGAGCGTCTTTCCGAGAAGTCTCGTGTGAGAAGAAGGAGTGACCATTCCCCCCATGGTGCAAGGACGCGACATTCGTTGGTCAACACCGGAAGAAACTGATGCGTCCTTGACCTCAAGTTGTAGCGGGCCTGATCAGTCTTTCCGATGCAAGTGGTTTTCCGCATGCTTCATGCTCGCATCAAAGCTCAGGAAAATGTCTCGAACTAGCAGCCAGGTACAATTTGCGCTTCAAGGACAAGCCTGCGACAGCGAAGACTGAGTCGCGAAAGAGCAGAGGACCCCCGATATAAGAGAAGAGCTGAAGGGGAGGTATCGACTCCGTCACTCTCGGGAGATTGGTCGGACTGAAGCTAGCGAGCAGTAGCATATCCATCTCGGGGCTAGATGGAGCTCTAGTCCTTTCCCCAGGACATTCTCAGATAACGGTGACGTATAGGAGCTAGTCGCAATTGAATCCGATATCCGATACGAGTCCCCAAGAACTCAGGACGTCGACAACATCGGCAGCAAAATCTGCGCAGGCTCCATCTGCCCTCTGGTGTCACAGACAGTGATCTTCTTCCGCAGATGTCGTCGGCTAATGGGAGGAAGAATACGGATCGACTTCTCTTCTTGGGATCACGAAGATGCGCAGGGCTCCGAGAGCCTGAGCTCCACGATATTCCGCCCGTCGCGATCGGCCGCTCCCCGTCATACCATACTACCATTCTTGAATGTTTAGTTACTCAAAGAGGAGGAAAGATGGGAGAGAGTCGCAGTAGAAGGGTATTGCCATTATCATGGGGGCAAGCCTGCCGCCTGACCTTCATTTGCTCCTTTTGATTTCATCCATTGACCTATGGATTCGACGCAGACAGGTCGGACTCGACAAGGAATGGCCCCCAGGCGCCGACGTGGCGGCGCTTCGAGGTTCACAAGCTCACCGACGGAGACTACGGTCTCTCGGCTCTCGGGGGTCGCGTCCTCGAACTAGACGGTTCCAATGAAGATCCCTGTTGGCGATTAGTCCCCGTACGCTCGTACCCTTCGTTAGCACTCAACTGAGCGAGGGCGCTTCCTTAATTTACGCATCAACTGAAAGTAGGTTCAGGCAACGCCGAGAGCGATATGAGAATTCAGCTTTCAAACAAACTCCCAGTTGAGTCTTATTTGAAAGTCCGGAAAACGCTCCGTCTGTTTCAAAGAGGAAAGATGGAAACCCCTGTTCTGTATCAAAGAGGAGAGATGGAAACCCCTGTCCTGGATAACACCGAATGTCTATGTGCTGCGATAACCAACCCTCAGGTCTGAGTGAAAGTTTCCCGGAAGATAGTTCTGAAGTCGAGTAGAGTGCGTTGCGCGAACTGATCTGATCATTCAGCAGGACGATCGCGGACTACCGATTGAGGTATCAGGGGGAATGCCTCCTCAATAGGGCTTTTCCTCGAAATCTGGATACATAAGAATTCCCGAATGCATCGAACTTTTCGCGAAATGCATGAACTTGAAAGCTTCTATAAGCAGCCTCGCACAGTATTCGGAAAGTTCTCATCTTCCGGACTTTTCCGGCATTTTCCGAATCTCTGAACCTTCAATTCGTTCCCTCTCGTAAGACTCACGACCTCAAGACATGCGGTGACTTCGAATTGTCGGTGTGTTTTCGAGCAGAGATCACCGTCATCAGCATGTCCGAAAAATGGATCCGTCTGCAAAGTCCCATCACACAACTTGTTGTCAGACACTCATTGTCAGACACAGGACTTTTCCTTGCGCTGCGTTCCCCTCACTCCTGGACGGCCCTGGGTATGCGCGCTCGTGATACAGCGTCCTTTCCCGCCAAGGGGAGCCTTCTCCCCAGAGTGAAAGCGGGCGCCTGGGAGCGCAGTGGAAAGTAGCCGACTCTACGGTCGTCATCGATGTATGACCGGCTTTCTTCTGCGCAAGTTTCTCTGGAATCCTACCAAGCGAGCTCACCGGGAATGGGCATGCCCTGCCGAATGGGAGAAATCCTCAGAAGGCGAGTCATTACCTAGAGATGAATATGAGGGAGGGAAGCCGACTTCAGGCACTCTGGAAATTGTCCTGATATTCATATACATACATGATATACATACATATACATACATGCACGTACATCCATTAAAAATGCATGGCTGTAAAAAGGAACCTGGGCGCAGGTTCCTCCGCAGGTGTGAAGATGCCACCCCGGGAATCGTAAGACAGTCTAGGATTTGCCTAATATTTTAGGCCTCGATACGAGTTCGCTCTGAGCTCAGGAAAATCGGTGGGGATTAGCATGGGTGATGACTTCCGCAACCAACGCGCATAGCTCAAATGACAGATGAAAAGCTCCGATTCTCGACGCACAAGGTTAGCGCTCGGCGTCCTACAGTCCCAACATCGGGATTAAGGCTTCGAAATTTTCAAGTAATGATGACATCCCTCGAGGAACCCATCTCGATGAATGTCAGTTCTTAATTTCTGACCATTGCAGCCGTGATTCCTGAGCCAGATGTCGCGCAAAGATCTTGGTCTATCGGAGAAAATCGCCATCCTCGACAGCATCAAGTCAGAGCCCCATCGCTCCAGCCGCCGCTTAGCGGAAATTACAGGGATCTCTAAATCATCGATCCTCCGGATACTCCGCGATGAGAAAAGATTGAGAGGTCTGTGGGCATCTGAGGATCGCCGAGATGTGAAACGGTACCGAGAAAGTAAATGTCCGGAAGTCGACGAAGCCCTCAGACAATGGTTCATCAGCGCGGGTTCTAGAAGCGAAAGTCTGAGTGGTTCAGTGCTCATGAAGAAGGCCGAACAACTCGCTCTCGAACTCGGAAAAAATGATTTCAGAGCAACTGATGGTTGGCTTTCTCGTTGGAAACAGCGTCACAGCATCAAATTCAAGAGATCTGCGGCTGATGTTCCCACTGCAAGTCAATGGAGAGCAGAACGCTTGCCGGAAATCCTTCAGTCATTCGACGCCGACAGTATCTACAATGCAGCAGAATCAACTTTGTTCCATCGACCTGACCGTCCATCGTGCCGGAACGTCGACTCGCCGGGTATTGCGGACAGAACAATGGACCGACTCACGGTCTTGTGCTGCACCAACATGGCTGGATCCGACAAGCGAGAACTTTTGATAATTGGACACAGTGTTGAGCCCATATGCATTAGTGACTTCAAGCTAGAAAATTTCCAATTCTCTTTTTTCGCGAATAATAACGCGAGAATCACAACACCTATCTTCGGCTCGTGGTTAGCCGCCTGGGACGAAGAATTGCAGCGGGTCGGGAGACGAATCCTGCTGCTCGTCGACGATTGCATCCCGCGACCGCATGTCGAATCCTTCAAGAATATAGTTTTCGAGCTCCTTCCCACCAATGCAATCGCGAAAATTCAGCCTCTCAGTTTGGGCGTCATCGACTACTTCAAGACGTCGTTCAGTGCGAGGCTCCAAGAGTCTCTCAATCAAGCAATTGAGCAAAGCTCGACGAGGGCTTCCCCGGAATTGAACTTGATGCAGGCCGCTCTCATCGCAGCAGATAGTTGGAACAATGTCAGTCAAACTCTAATCCGGGATTGTTTCGTTCGGTGCGGATTCAAAGTCGGGCTCGCTGGAGGCCAGGAATCAGATCTCATTGTGCCGAGCCCTGTATCGGGCTGCGGAACTTCTACTCTTCAAGGGAACCTTGATCGCAGCGTATCAATCGTTCCGGCGTCCCAAAGACTTGGAGAGCTTGATAGCGGCGCTATCAGCAGAAATTGTGCCGACCTAGAACAAACCAATGCTCCGAACATCATATACAGCGGATGTGGGACCATTCTGGGCGGGATCTCTTGCAGCGAAGCTCTCGAATGCCTCGAAAAAGTTAAGCGTTATTTTCTCCAGAAAGGACGTGATAGTTGTCCCATGACAGAGCTCGCGAGCTGCATTGCATTCGTATCAGAGCAAAACATTGGGGATAGTTGAGAGCAATTTCATCGCGGCGCCCGCGCCGGTTTCACCCGGAATCATCCCTCTGTACTCAATACTCGGTCCGACTTCTCGCTGCGGGTCGGGGGTGACTTCTCGCTCGGGGTCTTTGAACGAGGCGGATGAGACGAGTGAGAGCCGAAAGAACGATTTCCTCTAGGTATTTCCGGGCGTCCCCGGGCTGTGATTGGAGGTATTCGCTGTGGATGGGGTTACGGTGCGCAAGGAAACTCAAGCAAGTAGTGGTCTCGTCGCGGAGATACTCGTCATTAGATATATATAAATATTTCTCATCTGAGGTTCGCTTCTAATGTATACTATTCATCTCTTGAAATATAAAGTTTCAGCTCGTCGATGACTCATTGTTTTAGCCTTGCCAAGGGAGAGGTTCGATGAAAGTAGCAACCGCGTATATCCTGTTACTGACAACTTTCTATCAACGGTCCTCACATTGACGATCTCTGCGCCGGATGAAGCGACGGCGGCGCGCGCTTACCGATCAACCTAAGACGGAGATCATGTTGTTTCCTTGAAAACAGAATCTAATTCAAGGCTGATCATGGCGGCGAGGAGTTCTTTCATTCCCGGAGGATTTTCTCCCACAGGTTTCTGGGAAGGAAATCGTTGAACCCACCGCGACTCACCGACGCATCAATGTCAGGACTCCCCACGGAGATGCAGGGGTTCCGCGCTTCATTTATTGCACCCAGCAGACAAAGTACGCCCTCAATCTCCTCAGAGAGACTCAGATGGCTGTCTGCGGAAATCGTGTTGATATTGACGCGCTCCATGCCCATCTTTGGAACACGAAACCATCAATGAATGGTGATCAGAAGATTGCGCCCGACCTCATTATGAGCGAGCCAGACTCCCGCGAGCGTGGTGATGGACTACGATCGAGCCATGATGAATGCAGTAAGGAATTGTGTCCCGCCGGGAACAAGCACTCACGGATGTTTTTTCCCTACGGTGTTCAAGCTCCGCTTGTCGAGGCGCATGGAGGCTTGTGGAGTCGCTGCGAGACGCACGACGACTTCGCGCTGAAGACTCGGAGGATAGCTGCCTCGCCTTCTGTTCCCCACGCTGAGCTGGATAACGCCATCTCCGAGCTTTCGCCCTGCTCGCCCGTCGACCTTGTCTCGCTTCTCAATTATTTCGGAGACGCTGATACCGGACGGTTGAATCGGATCCGCCCAGAAGGTACTGTGGACCGGAGGACACCGCACTTTTTCGTTGACATGTGGCCGGTTTATCAGCGAACGAACACTAAATGGCGGAGCGCGTACGAATACCTACGCTGAAGTGGCCAACCGCCGACTCCGAGTCGAATCCGAATCCAACATTCGAAATTCATCGATGCACTCAAGGCAGGCACGTCGGATGCCAAAAAAGATACGTTGGGGCAGACGAGCGAGGCCCAAAAGTCGTTCACCGAGCCGGGCATCTCTAACATGTTGGATACCTTCGTGGTATCGCCCATAATTTCCTCATGGAGGCGAACTTCTCGGTCCCGATGAGGGAAAGCATAAATAGGGTTCGATGATACTTTGTCATATACGTTGGTAACTCTGAACTCAAAATGAACCGATGCGAATCACGAAAAGCTCGGAAGGATTGGAATAAGGCACCCAGCAGTAAGGAACGGCGATAGGGTACGGAAGGATTGAGTGCCTTACGCCTTAGCTACCAAATCCATCGACCCACCCCGGGCTTTGGATATCAATACAATCCATTTCTTCCTGAAGTTGTCTATATCTACTTTCTGCGTATGAGCTCTAAAGTCTCAAAACAAGCGTCTCCTTGAATTCGATCGCCTTCGCAACCTCGCGTACTGAAGTACGGTTGCTCAGGCGATACGTCGCTTGTCCGAGGCTCTGCTCAAACTCAGGTTCTCAGGTGAAGTCTCCCAACAAGGAGCATCTCATCCGGAGGCGTATCCGGGGGCGAAAACCTGGTACCACCCCCCCCCTTCCCCCGGGAAAACCCTGCAAACGCTGCTGATCTCATCTGAGCGAAATCGGGATTCTTCCGACCATTTAGTCTTTTGCCCGGTTTCTTTTGGCCAGTTGGACCATTGGCTCAGTAGGTTTCTCGCCTAGTTCGTTTCTGAGCTTATAGAATTGTAGAATACCATGAAGGGTCAGGTGGGGTGTCAGGAATCTATTCGCGAACTTGGTCGGCGGCTGAATCTTGAATCGATCCTTACTTGCGACGACATTCTATATCTAGAGGAATATCTCGAGTGCGCAAAACCGCTTTCCGATGCACTGAACATAATCAAGGAAGAAGAAACAGCCTGATACGGCATTCTGCGCCCGACGCTCTAAGTGGTCAAGCGCCCGACTCTCTACGTGGTCAAGCGCCAACTGGGCGCAGTGACGCAATCGAACCAACGCCATTGACGGCCGGTCGGCGTCTCGAAGACGAGTTCAATCGTCGTCGTTCACAAGGCGAGAAGGCCACCATAGCCGCTCTCTCACTGCCGCGTTCCAAGAAAAAGAATGGTTTCCGTTCTTTCCGCCGGCAGACCAGGGTCATATTCTCAATTCACTTGAAGACTTCATGCGCGAGAATTCGAACCCTGTGGATATTGCATCCAGCCGATAGACTAGACGATTGCCACCACTTCAGCGAAACGTACCACCGATCAATGTTTTTCCGCGGTCTCAATGAGAATAGAAAAGTGATGATGCAGCGATACTTCAACGAACCGCAAGCCAGCCCGTGCATACTGAGGAATTTCCCGCCGATAGACCGCATCTTCCGGGAGTTCAATACTGCAACAAACGAGGGATAAGAGGTGGCAGATACCTTCCCAGATAATCGTCGATAATCACGATTCACGATGTTCGCTGATTCGGATGCATTCATCGATGTTCTGATCCAAAACCCGAAACTGAATCGAATCGGTCCAAATCTCACGGGACCTTGAGAAAAGGACGGTTATCGGAGTTCAAGCATTGACCCTCGCTTATCGGAGACTGTCGGACTCCGACAGCGCAGTCGCAGGCACTAGTTTCGCGTTAGCAGGTCTGTCGCTACTGGAGGTGGTTCTCTAACACTTCCGAGCGCCGAGCGCCGACAAGCATTGTCGGCCGTTTCTTGGTCCGATTCTTGGACCTTGGATTTCATCCACAACGAATGAGCTTCGGCCCCACTGCGGCGTCGGAGCTCGAAGCCTCTCTCTATCAATGCAAGAAAGCCAGACCACCCCGCATCGCTTCCAGCAGACGGCTCCTCTTCTCTTACGCAGGGGGCGAAAAGCCCTCAGTGGACCTCAAATAGATGAGACAGCCCCCGTCATTTTTGCCGAACTGAGGATACCGCGAAATACCTTGCGATGAAGGTGATGATGAGCTCCGGCGAATCGCTACCCTTGATCGATAGGGCTATTCTGTCGCGGGAGAAAATCGCTCATATCGCGGCTGGATCGCGGCGAATATACGCAAAATTGCGGAAAGTCACCTAATTTGCTCGGAATCGCGGTGAAGCGCGGAGTTCGCTCGTACTTAGCGGAAAGAGTGGCTCCTCAGAACAAGCGAGCCTTGCAACGATCTTACTGCATCCTCCAGTACCCCATGCTTCCCTCGCCGGGTGGGACAGTCAGTCCTGCCATTTACTTCATTGTCAGATCGTAGCCACCACCAAAGCACCTAGGCGTGATTTCTATCGTGACATGGTTTTTCGTCTTCGCGTCGTCGTCGGTGCTTGAATGATCCCTTGGCGAAGCACGGGTAGTACGCGGTAGTCCAGAATATATGTATCTACTCGACAGGACCAGATCCTTCCGCTGCCGACCCGCTGCGGGTGGGAAAGAGTGCGCATCGGCAGACTTCGACCGATCAAGCCACGCGTCTATAGAGGATGAGCTCAGGTTCGTCATGTTCTCTATGTCTGGCTAAGAGAGAGCCAGCACCGTAGATCCATGAAGGCATTTCCCACTCAGCCACTCCGTGGATGGGACCGTCCTAGCTGTCTGCAGACGCATGGAGTACGATGGGACAACGATGCCAGCACCAGCGGAGATCCTTCGTCGCCGACTATTCTATTATCTAGAAGTTTCGCAGAGCTTGCGCTCTCTGAGCTTCCCGCCAGCGATTTCCCTGAGTCTGAGTCGGTGTCCGAGGAACATATTCTCTTGTAGGCACAGCGACTGTCCTCTCATCCGATGCGGAAGTCTCGCAGCCCATTGTTGGACCCAGCTGTCCCGTGAGTTTCTCGGCCTTTGGGGCTACCCTCAGTCAATGCGTCGCTGCGGCCCAGGTAAATGAGCTCCGATGACTACGGGAATTCAAGGATGCTGATCGTACGCCTTCCCCGCAAACAGTCATTTTGAGATTTACCAAGTTCGCCGCTAAGGAGCCGACGCCTCTATCGATTAGACAAGTTGGAAGAAGAGATATATACATCTGATATATGTATGTATAGTATAATATGTAAATAGCTCCGCATCTATTTTCCATTTTCGTGACTGTATGGAGCGACGCCGACTTCACATGACGTTGGATGAAGAATTTATGATAATTACGCAAGGGGCTAATGTATGAGAGCGTTGGAATCTTGTTACTCATGGGATTCCGCGCTCCTCACTCATATTCTTGCGTTCGGTTGAATGTTCGGTCCAGAAAGGTCAGAGCGGAGGGACAGATAGTTCCGGACGAGTAATTTCGGCCGTCTCACCTGCCGCCAGGAATGATAGGAGCTGATTGAATGCTCGGGGAACATACTGTCTGAGTCAGGCGGTTCGCCCAGAGTCCCAATGCTCCGCGGTGTATCGCTGACGAGAGGCATCCACGCTGCGATGAGGCCACGGTAATGTGCTCATAATCAAGAGCCTGATTCTCTCGCTTGAAGATGGACATGGAGCGATTACGATTAAATATATGCTATTCGCTGACCGCTCCCAGTGAAGATTATTGGTGAGCGCCTTCGGATGATGCTATCAGGTGGCGATGATGATTGCTTATTGACTACAATCGATTTCTTCTCTCCCGCGGGGTAACTATCGAACGTTGCCGAATTCTAGACCGTTGCAGAAGCTATGCGCTGCGATAGAGACACAATGGACAGTCCTCCCGATGCTTTGAATACAGGCTGGTATATACAAGCCGGAACCCCGATTGTGAGAAAGGAACGTTCATCGATGACGAGAAGAATATTGAGACAAGCCTCGGTGTGCTTCGCCATCATGGTATTCTGGGTGTTTCGAACAGATTGCTATACAGTTCTGCCATGGCACCCGGCGGAGATGGAGTCGACCGCAGAAGAGCGGTCGGTAATCACCATAATTTAGGGAGAGTTGATGTTGAGAACGAGCTAAATCGATCGGATTACTGCGCCATGCCGCCCACTGAACAAGGTCGAGCCGTAATCACGCGACTCGAATACTTTTCCCCAATGATCCTCGGCCTAAGCTGCGTCTCAAATTCGAGGGAGCCCTTGCACGGGCAGAGACGCTCCATGGAGCTTCAAAAAGCTTCAGATTCAAGGATTGATGATTCTATGATTTGTGGTCGGTCTTCTGGCTGCATTAGGGTCCATTTCGATTCGTGATCTTATCTAATCAAGGCACGATAGTCGGAAAAGATAAGCTGAGGTTACCTCTACAGAAAATTGCTGTGTTGGCTGTTCGGCGTTTCTTGTTCCTACGACGATAAGGGTCAGTCAACGTGGTTGTCGTGGTCCCGATCCGAATTTCTCGGATTTTTACCGACGCGAATCCGGCAATGAATCTTATTCAGCAACAGGATCCAACCAATGATGGACACAATCATCCGAACTCGATGTCAGGCAAATATGTCGACCACTCATTGTGAGATCTCTTCTCTAGAGGCGTGCGAGAGGCTTGTCAACTTCTTGGCGAGCGAGTGCCAAAGAGTTCAATCCTAATCCCATCCAGGAGGCTCGCCTCGCGGCTCTCGACGCGCAAGCACGTTCGGACTGAGACGACATATCAATTGCTCTGGACGCAACACGCGCGGATGGAAAACCCGAAAATACCGGATGCTCACAACAAGCGTTTCTGAAGTGACGTTTGGGCAAGATCAGAAAAGATGGTGAGCATCGCTGTGGAGGATCGCCAAGATGATACTTGTTTTTCCTGCATTTTTTGTCGACCGTAATCATTCGAGGGATTTCTGCGAATGATGTCGATAGATTCGTGGAGCTGGAGCGGTCTGAGCGGCTTTCCTCGCAGCATTTCATTGGCAGGTGCGAGCGCGACGGAAGAAAAAATCCCCACCTCAATCGAGTACAAGTATCTAAATTTTTTCTGACGACCCATCGCTCTTCGACTAGATCCGACTGGACTATCTTTTCGGCAAGGTCGGCCAAGCCACCCAGGTCGGTAGCATCCGAATCGATTGGGGACTCGGAGTCCCCCTCGGGCGCATGCAGAAGATTCCATCGGACAAGCGTCAGATAGAGGGATTCCGAGCACTCCGAAACGCTCAAATAGGCCCTCAACGTGGCACATTTGTTCTATGTCTTTCCAATTTAATCCTTCATGATTTGCGAATCCGAGAGCAGGCTAACTCGAAGCTCATGGGCCGAAGCTCCCTAACGTCCAATGACCTCGAACATCTTCCGGTAAAGGCTCCTCAAAGAGACAGAAAATACTTGTCGCAACGCATCTCCAGGCTTCCCGAGGGGAATATACCAGAGAGGAGACATTTTCACTCGGATTTTCGTTGCTGATACCCCGGTTCAGAGTCGCCGTTGGAACAATTCCGATGTCCTCACAAATATAAATAATTCATTCCAGAGTGTTCACGTGATGGTCACTCAAGCAAATCAGCGGCAAATCAGCTCGGTGACTGATCATTCTTCATAGGATGAGGGCGCGATCGCATTTCGTAAGCGACAAAGGCCAAATTACTCGTGATATTTAGACGTATTCATGTGAGTGGCGCAGCACAACCATGTTGGAGTCGAGCAGTAAACTTGTAGTCGATATTCCAGGATAAACTTGACCAGTCTTGGAAACGCTTCTGGCGAGGGTGACCTGCCGTCGCACTCTCCGGCTCACGCAGTATTTTATCGACGAATAGGGACAGACGGGTAGTCGAGAGGAAGGCAGCCTATCTTTCACTTTCATTCATGGACTTCTTCGTAACAAGTGTGTGCATTGTGTCCCTCTTCTGGCTCTCTCATACTTCGTTCCCAGAAGCACTGCATGTGGAGATCGATCCCGATATCCGTGAGAGACCAGCGGTAAGGTTGATTAGGAGCCATCGCACGCCTCATTCCTCCCGGAGCTCATGATTTGGATTTCCATTGACTTTAAAAATCACTTCCGGAATCCGCGCAAGCTCCTTAGACGTACCGAGAAGGATTGAGCATTGAGCCAATCTATTCGAAAAGCATCCGTCGCGATTCATTAATTCATCGCATTGAATACAAACGTCCTCGGGAAATGTCAAAGTTGGAAAGGCCCACGTCGAGGAGGACTCGTGTATGCTCACTACCTATCGCGGGGTCGACGAATTCGCGACTGGCACGCCATTGCCCCTCTCGAGCTTCAGTGCTTGGAGGCAAGATCCTCGGTTGCTACTGTTCAGTATTCGGATGACTCCTATCAGGAAAGAATCGAAGTCCCACTCCCCCTGCGAAATGAGCTTAAAACCCGCAAATGTAGCTCACAGAAAATTTCATTCGAATCTCGAAATCGGCGGCGCAGGCGTCGGCTTCCGGCTGGACTCGTCGCTATCGCTTTCGTGGCACTCAGCACAAAAGATTCGTGGATATCGAAGTAGGCAAGTTATGGAGCTTCCCGTATAGACCATTCGGAGAATTTATTTGACGATCTTCGAAAATCGGCAGGACATGTCATTCACGGGAAGAGATGAGCTGAAATCATTGTTCGTGATCGCAAGACACTCCATCCGTGCTCCCATCTTCTATCCGCCGCATGATGAATTTCTGAACCCGAAACCGTTCTCTCGAGGTCCGGGCTATCTCACGCAGAAGGGCATTGACAGCGCTGTTCGAGTCGGTACGTAAATTTCTGTGCGAGCAGTCGCTTTCCGGGTATATTTCTCCGGGGATGCCCGCGATGTTCGGCGAGTTCCTCTCTGGAAAGGAGGGTACTTTGCTCGAGTCCATGTAAGCCAGTAGATCCCGTATAGATTGAGACGACTTCCTCAGGGAAAATTTGGAAGCGATGGTATCCCGACCTAATCACTGGCAATGCCAGAGAAGTGTGGGCTAGGTCTTCAGAGTCTTACCGTTGCGCAGAAACGGCTCAGTCAATCCTCTACTCGATCTACACCACGGAGTGAGTTCTTTCTCATCCTTTCATGGGAGCACGTGCGTACGCATTCACACCGCTGTATTGCTCAAGAACGATTCCGTCATCGCAGGAGTCATTACCAGCCAATATCTGTCATTGTGCCCCCGTCGAACACCGATAAGTACACCTCATCGAATAGCCTCTCGGATGAAGAGCTCTCCAAATGCATGGATGGTTATTATGGTATCCAAGTCAAGTCGATAGGGGGAAAGCCTACCACCGTCGCTGATGTTCTGCGCTTCGTTGCGGAGAAATTGGGGCTTGCTGATCGCAGCGCAGATGCCTTCGATATGTTCATCTATCTAGACGGTGAGATCGGCCCCTAATCTGCCTGGGTTTGATTCTGCCTAGGAATTTGATTCTGGAGCGGGCAGTGGTCGTCGGATCTAGATCCAACGATCGCTACCAGATTGAGTTCCATCATTCCGATGAAGACGTGTAAAACTCGTATCTGCAAAGTAAACACGTAACCGTCAATTTTTGCCTGGAACACTTGGAAACATGTCATCATTCAATAAGGCATTGAATCGCTGCGTTACGAGAACCTGGAGCAGCCGCCGTGGTACACAAGTAACAAGGAATCGATCGACGAAGTGTACGGAATTCTCTATGATCGGATCACATCGACTCTGAGGCCCTACTATGGATATTTTCTTCTTCGCGGTCTAGCAGATCGTATGAAGTTGCTGAAAGATGGTGAGACAAACGTACATGTGACTCACCTAATCGTAGTATATGTTCATCGTGACTTCACGTGATATGCTCTTCGACGTGTATGATGGATCATTTGTGTTCAGCCCATAATCGGGGCATCTTCACAGGGAAACCCCCCTATGGAGACAAGTGGAGTTTATTCCTCGAGCATGATTTTTCCATATCAGCGACGCTCTCGGGCCTGGACCAGGGTTTCGAAAAGCTCAAGGCGAATTTCTTGGGGGCTGTTTTCTTCGAGATGTATCAAAGAAAGACAGATGGTTAGTCCCGGTACCCAGTGGGTACTCGGGCATACCCTGATACTGAAAATATATGTACGAGCCCTTGCTGCATCCTTGCGTGCTTCGTTCACTCATATTCGGTTCCGCCGCAGGGTCTCACTACATGAAACTCTTCTGGAGCAGAGGACTTCAGTCGAATGGAACTTACTGTGAAAAGGAACCATTGAATCTGAAAGGGAGCAATGGGACGAATGAGATCGCATTCGATGACCTGTGGGCGAAATTTCGTAACAATGTCTTCGAAGACTACATGACTGACAGCAAACATGCACTGATCGGATACACGGGAGAAGATGCCCTCGTCTGAGAATCGGGAGGATCCGCTCTGCATCTCCATATACCGAGTGGATGGAGGTCCGCGGAGAATGGTATTCGAGAGATTCCGAGTGAGCAATAGACCCAAAGAAGAAATGGATGGATCTACGGAAGGGCTCGGAAACCTTCCCAGGAATTCTCAACCACGAGACCATCGAAACTTGGGCGATGACTCGACCACGAGCGACAGCATAGTCTCGGCCCCCGCTTCCCTCTGGAGAAACCTGTTTTCTGAAGCCTTCTGCTTCAGAATTGAGCTTCGGTGGCTGAATTTGGCAAGGAACGGCGGACGTCTCGTGTAGCTCGGCAGCGAATTCATGAGGGAGCCCATCTATTTCTTCGACAAATGACTCGGTGGACAGAGTGGTATCGACAGAGATAAATGTGGAGAGCGAGCCCAGCGGACCAGATGGGGAGGCGAATAATTTCCGAGACTAAGTCTCAGACGTCTTGGAGCGATCGACTCATATTGTGAATATTTTCCATGTTGTATAGAACAACAGCCGTGAGGGCGCCGACGATTACTCATCGTAGTGGAAAGGCTTTACATTTGCTAAATAATAACGATATCCGGAGAATGCGTAAATTTCGCGGGAAGCATACATCTATGCAGCTCGGAAAGTATATTTCGAGCTCACTGTGGTGAATGGACATCGATTGAAAAAGTTTTTAGTCTTTTCGGAGGAGAAAAGCGCCTGGAGTATGTTCGGTGTCAGACAAAGAATGCGTTTTCATTCTATCGGGGGGAAGGGGATAGTTCTCGTGAATGTTGAATGTGCCCACCAGTATCACCCAAGATAAGTGATTCCATGAGACGCGGAGGACGAGCCCATGGAATGAGCTCTGGATGGGGTGCTGATACATGGGTCAAACATCGGACGCGGGACAGAAATATCATCAATCATCGATCGAGCGGTGGTTGCAAATGAAGTCATCCTGCAGCAGCCCTTGAAATTCTAGATGGTGTCACTCTTCGAGGAAAACGATGACCGCTTCGAAAAATTGTAAGAATGGACTCTGCGCCGAGCGAAGTCCTGGAGAGGTTGGATCGCCTCAGCGATAGGTTGGCTCGTTTCGAAGCCAATATAGATAGACTGGAGTCGAGAATTCAGGAGAAACTCACGTCGGATCGTCCTGACCAGAGGTCCGGAATCCATTTCCTCGGTTGGGAGTCTTCGAATCAAGAATATCTTGCTTAATCGGTGACCGGGTTTTACCCGAAGGAGCGCAATAACTGGTCATCTCCGTAGGGCCGACATGCTCGTTTTGAAGCAAAGCCAAGATATGAATGAGATCCGCAAGAGATTGGGAGCCTTGGCTGCGGAAGCGAAGAAGCTGGAAAAGAAGATCCGCAAGACGGCGAAGCGCGATCTGGAGCGTGACCCAGAGAGAGATTCTCACGACAGATCGGCTGTGAACCCCGATCACGGAGCAGCGAGCGATGGTGAGTCTTCCCTCCGGAGAGCGAACACTCCTGTCCCAAAATACGGCTGCATCTGCTGTCAAGACGAGCCCTCTACGATCATGGATGACCGCATAGTGAATTCCTCACATACTTGATTGAAAACGAGAAGCGGTGTTTTTATCTTTCGAAATCGTTCGGGAGGAATAAGATTTATGCTTTGTTTCCGAAGACAGAACTCCTGTTCTAGGGAAGGATACCAAGCATTCCAAGACTAGCACTTCAAGCGCGTCCTTAGCCTGCGGCAGTCGCCTTGACGACGGAATCAAACACGGTGGAAGCCTCAGGGGAGTGTTGCAACTGTCTGATGTGACCGCCAAATTCACACTTCGATTCGACAATTAATCCAGCGTTCCGGGGCTCCTCGTCGCTTCGTGTGGAGGAAAATAAAAATTATCCCAGAATGTCCCCGAGGTGGGACACCACAAACTTTTAATTTTGGGAATCCTTCGGACTGCGACTGCTTTCCTCCTTGTAGCAGGATCGTCTTTCGCATTCACCTCGAAACCTGGTCTCTCGAGGGAGCGAGTCGGAAAAGTTCTCTTGCGAGGCGAGTCAATCGACAGACTGACATTGACAGACTCCGAGGATGCCTTCCGCGCTGTTCGACAGCCCCCTTATAAGGTCTCCGATAATCAGTATCTGATGCCGCTAGCCGACCAAATATTGGGATCTCCGCGAATGTATCGGATAGAAGATCTCTCGAATAATGAACAAAGATCTATCACCTAATCGTTTCTCATCCGGGATCAGCGACGGGGCGACCCATGCGAAGCCTTCGAATGGCATGAAAGCTTCTCTTTACTGTCCGAGGCTCGATCACAGCCTGGAGACTCCAATAGACAGTCGAAATTTAGGAAGACCGTTTGCCTGATATTGGCGTTCGATGAATCCGAGACCGGACAAGATTGATAGGTATCGCACGGCCCGATGTGGGGAGTCAGAGGGATCAGCTCGCGATTGCGTTCTTTCATGGTTATCTGGTGGGCTGACCAAGCTCAGTGAGATACCAAGCGACAGATTTTCAGGAGTGATAATTCACTTGCGAGCTTTCTGCGCTTTGAGGAATACGGCGAGAAGAGTGGACGAAAGATAACTTCCTGAAGTTGGACATGTATCCTTCCGGAATGGACTTCAAGCCTTCTCGAGCAGTATCTTGGCCGATGAAACGGCTCTATATGATGCTGGTCCGATTAGATGGATCGCGGAAACTCTGCGAATAAGGCGAGACGGCTTGTGATCCGAGCGGCCGCTAGCACGGACTCACGCACACCACTCCGTATGTGCCGAGCAAGTGCTCGCAATCGATGGAAATCGATTGATTGATTGATTGTTCCTGACCATTCCCCTTTGACTGGGACAATTCATGCCTCCGGAGAAACCCATACGCGGGCACAGACAAGGCTCGCAGGCGGAATTCCGGGAGCCGTGGTCGACTGCTGGTCAGGAATCGAAATCGGCTCGCCCCGTTCCCTCCGTCCCCTCTCTTGCCTGTCCCGATTCAAGCAATGTTCTTTCCTAGCGGAAATCCTCACGGAGCGCTCCTCTTGTTGCAATGTCGCTCCCGGTACGCAGTGAAGATGATTTCAATATATTGCCTGATTTCGCTCTCCGATCTTGTGGAGGTATATGCTCACTCGCATCGCGGGATAAAAACTCCTTCGTCTGCAGCTTCTTCGAAAGCAAAAAAGCTCTGACTGATGGGGGAGGGGAGAGGAGGCGCTAAGAAATCGCCGCCTTGAAGCCTCAACTTGAACGGATGAACATGTCCTGCAACGGGAAGTTATGTTTCTAGTCACCGGGTTCGCCGCAGTTTTCAGGTCCGTCAGCAAAATCATCACGCCCGCAAAGAGTTGGTTTCAAGGAATTCATTTTCCTCCCACATTGCATAATCCGGACTGATGTTTACCGAGCTAGTCGTCAGTTAGAGAGATGCCAATTCGTAAACACAAATGGCTGCGCCCGGGGACGAATCACCGGAAGATGACCAAAGCCTGTCGCGCCGTAGTTCCGGGACTCTGTCTATAGAACGAATAGAGGGAGAACGCCGCAAAGGAGCGAAGAAGTCGTCGGGAATCCAGTTTCGATTTGTGAGTAGACTTGCGGCGCAGGGATTATCTCTACATGATCAGACGGCAGAATCAAGCACCTCGTTCACCCACATCCCACATCAGTTTGAGCATCTCGCTTCGCTGAAGCTGCAGACGGACTAGCTCCGATCGCGCGAACCGGGTTGACATGTTCCTAGAACGTAGTGGACCGGATGGAGCGCGGACTTCTGGGAAATAATTCTTAGCAAAGGCCTGGAACATCGTTTCAATGAGTGCCTGAGCGATGCTGGAACGCTGAATCATCATGGCGGAATGCTCACAATTTCGGAATAGGTCATCAAAAAGTTACCGACACACAAGACACTCTCGTGGCATGAAAATATTCGCGCTAACGAGAAACCCGAGTAGCCTGTGGATCGTAGGTCTGATCTAGCCTCGCAATCCGGGCAACGCGGATAAATGATACTTGACTCCAGAAAATCTTATGGTTGCTCCTCTTTCTCCCCATTCTCTGCTTACTCGGAAGCTGTCATTCCCGATCATCAGGCGTTTACCGTAAAACACGTCTGATTCGACCACTCGCATGGAAGGAGGCGCCTCTGGACCCTCTCAATGGGACTTGAGGATTTTCCTGCTCCCTATTCCGGTTCCTGAGGCGGTCAGCCCAGCGAAGTCCGAGCTTCCGCGACTTCCAGGAACGAGTTGGACCGGATTGGATGCGCGATTCACAGCAGGTGGAGGCTCACAACTCGTGCAGCGGGGAAAGTAGCAATGCGCTATCGAGACAATTCTATCATGTTTCGAGAAGCCTTCCAGTCGCTGAAGCACACGCCGTTCCGGTAACGGGGATCATTTGTCCAGAGTTCTGCGAGAAACCGCCGCGGTCGCGCCATCGATTATTATCGATATCTCGCGAAGTAGGGATTCGTGAGACACGGGAGTACCACATTGTATTCTGCAAGGAGGGGGCCTCCGTCGAACAAGGAGCAAGCGCGTAGTACGGGGAGAAGCAGGGCCCTCGTAGATGGAACCTTACAAGAGGTGCTCCGAGAGCTCGACGACTAGAGTTAGCAAGCGCGGCGCGTAGAGCTCGGTTGATTCAATCACATACGAGTTCACAGGGCTGACGCGAACCTCGTTTTCTAGCGAACATCCCCAGAAGCCTCACGACGCAAACCGGAAGCAGCTCAAGCGAAGAAAGAACCCGAGGCTGTCATCCTAACGGAAATCTCTCGATCGTCTGACGGATCGAGACGGCGAAAAGTTCAAGCGTCTGTGTTGGTACATGATGCTCCAGGATAACTTGTCTGTGTCAGCTCCTCCGTGAGAATGGACTCCTCTACTTGCAATCGATGCTTAATCACAACTAGTTGCGTCTTCCTCAGCTATTGTGCAATATCATCATAGCAACGCTTCTCGTCGCCCTCGTGAGCTTCTTCGTTTACGAAGTCGTGAAGAGGTAAGTCCTCCTTATCTGATACGATTGGACATTGGGTCGACGTTCCCGCCTAAAGATCGCGTGCCCGTTTTTTTTCAGTAAACCGGAACGCTCATATACGATCATAGTAGAAGTCTCTGAATTCGTTACCGTAGCCTACGCAATCCGTCTCAATGCGACCGACAAGGATAACATCATAGTGGAGGCTCACGAAAAGAAGCAAGCTCAAACAAGTATTTTCGATCCCCATTTCGGCCGAGATGTCCAAGAGGTTTTGGAGTGAGGCTTTTTTCATGGACGATGCTTGTGCGCTTGCTCGAGGCGCAGCCTCTGAAAAACTCTGATTCCGACTCCTTCATCCTTCCAAGGGAGCTGGTCAACGGGATGAGCCACGTCATCCCCGAAGAGAGCCACAGATCATCTCATATTTATCTCCGAATGTCCCCGGCTCTTCGTCTGACCAATCCCGATCTGGTTGAGAGGGTGATGAATGAGGCTTCCGCAGTTTTTTCGGAAAGTGTCTTCTACAAGCCGAGCGACTCCATCGAATTGCTGGATGAAAGGGAACATGGTAAATTCGGGGCAGCTCATCTGTTATCTTCGGATAAACTATCATTCGTCCCTCTATCATCTACCCTTCCCAACCTCGTTCGCCGAGTATCGTTGCTGATCACATGCGGGGCAAAAGCGGAAGTTCCCGAGCCTCTCTCGCTCTCCTTCGAAATTCTTGTTCGAGATCATCTCTGGTAAGCTCGGGAAACCCTGGTCTGTACCTTGCGTCGCCATGGCCGCCGATCTCCAGATTCCCGAGCTGTCCCCCTCATGATCTGGCATTGCGACGGCGCGGCGTTCCCCCGAGTCAGCGATCACGTAGCACCGCTGGCGTGGCAAGGGAGATATTCGATGCATGATCAGCGAATCACTTAGGGGTTAAAACCGGGCGAGGCCGACATAGATCCCCCTTGATCGAGGCCCGTATAACGTGTCGAGCCGTGTCCCCCTAATCGAGAATGTACGATTAGCGTGCGAGCCCAGCTCGACTGACAGCCTAAAAGTGATGCCTGCCCACCTGACTCACTCGGATACCGTGGACTTTGCCACAGAAATCCAAACGAACGGTCAAGCAAAGAAGTATAACCTCGAGCCGGCTCTGGGATATTTCCTCATTTCTCGTATTCCTCGTTGGATTGACGCGAACGCACGCGAACTGATGAAGCCGCGAAATTTTTCACTTCCAGGTTATTTTTGGTGGCTCGCAATGGTCTACCGTCTCAACGCGCGATTCCGGCAGAACAGAGTCGCGCTGATCGTTTTCGATCACGCTTCGGTGAAAATAAACTTCATACCGACGAATCCCATAATTTTGAAGCGGTCCCATGTTCGCGACGTGGAATTGCCGGACGGAGAGAAGGCTCTCCTCTATAGTTATGCCTATCCCTTCGGGATCGATACGGCGCGGGAGGAGATGTTTCAGAGACTGCGGGGAGATAACGGTACGGTGGAAAGCAACTGCATCTACGCCGGAGTGGCAGATCCCTCGTGGTATCGATGGTCGTATCGCGGAAATGAATACGTACTCGCTAATGATCCGTCGAAAAGAAATTCGGAGCTCTGCGTCTCGACTACGGAACCATTCTTCCGGGACCACAAGCTGTTCGCCGTGAAGCAGCTCCTCAGATACGACATTATCATAATAAGTGTGTATCATCACTTGCTTCGAGAACAGAACTATGTGAGGTTCCCAAATGATTACGAGGACTCCGTCACCGTTGAAGATCTTGGATTCAAAGTAAGAAATGATGGTGAGTTCAATCAGAAGGTGCCGATCAGAGGAAGTTCTCCGGAACAGTTTCTGTATCCTCCACGAGCTTTAAAGAATTACGCGCGATTTCGCCGATGGAAATTCTTGGATGGAGGCACGCGAAGTTAGCTCGCGTGCTTCCGCCCCTCCCTGGAGTCTAGAGGAGGTGACCCTGCCGTTTCCGGTTGCCGGTCGGACCACGGATCAGAGTTCATCGGGGGGGCAGTCCCGGCCGCACGATTTCCCAACGCCAGTTTTTTTCGGCGAGGGAGGATATTCGGGGCAAACGCGTGCTTTCCAATCCCACCGAGTGTCCAGATCGCGACGGAACTCCCACTCAGCTCTCTTCAAAACAAAATCGTTCAGATGATTTCCTAGCTCCCGACCTACGTCAGTGGGACGGCCCTGGGTCGTCTTTTCGATTCCTCTACGGATATCGGTCGCTTCACAGCCAGGCTCTCGAGCGAACGATTGTTTTCCAGTGTGTGAGAAGAGACCTTTGAGCAAGACACGCAGATTCATATGCGGTGACTATGTCTTCATTTGGAGATTTCTCACCAATCTTGGCTTCCTCCAGGAGCAAATCAGGGTCTGTACCAACATTATAGCTTATACTAGCTTAATTCTCACTTGGCTCCGCTCAGGACATAGACATTGACTCCCTTCCCTCTTGCAGTTCGCAACAAGCATGGCAGGCGAGACTACGAGCTGGGCGCTAGGATTCGCGCTGAGCCTTGGTTAGGAGAGGGATTCCTCCAAGAGCATCTCACTGAATATGACAACTTTGAGAGGAGCGATAAACCTGAAGCGATTCGAGGCTCGTCCATGTCGATGGGCAGAATGTACGTTCAATGATTGATTGGCGGATTCTCGAGCGAACTCGAGCAGAGAAAAAAAAATTCCTTCCAAAACATCTCCGCAGTCGTATCGACATCCCATAATCTATAATAATGCACACGCAAGACCTTTGAGCAATTTCCCGTATCGCCTCCCCAAATCCGCAGGATACGCGACACGATTCCCTTCATGTGAATCGATTTACGGACGGGAAAGTTCTCGAGCACGAAACCGGGTTGCGCTTTCCTCCAAGCATTAAAGCGTCTGGGTTATCTCTGATCCTCCTGTTGATCTCAGGAATCTTTCCCCCGCACACTACAGGTCTTTCCCTTATCCAGGGCCTCTCCTCCTTCCGCTCCGCAAGTGATCGTGATTTCGGCAGTGAGCGAAGGAACTGAAGCTCGTTCCGAGAGACTGGTAGCCGCCAACCTGATCCTTTCTTTCCCACGCGTGATCGATCCACCTCCTTTTATCTCTTCTTGATCCCGAATCAATGGTATCATGAATCGAGATATGGGGCAACTCGTTGGTTTAGGAAGAGAAATGTAGCATCTTGGAGTTATTATCTAGATAACAGTCCCGGTCTACTGTACGTACCTATGCGTACCTGGGAGTCTAGAGCTCAGGCTGACTCAGTCCTGGCGCGGTTCTGCAGAGGAGAATCCACCGTGATCGTCAGCTAGAGAGGAAACCAGTCAAGAAGATTGGCTCTCTCGCAGGCGTTTGCTACAATTGGGTTCGGGTGCATTCAAATGAGTTCATGTAAGCTTATAAAGTCATTGAGGCCTCCAAAGAACTCGGGCCGCCTAGAAGATTCGATCATTTGCTCGGAGGCTCTCGGATATCGCACTTGGAATGCTGTCCTATGCATAGAACGAAACTTCGAGCGATCCGAGCCTTGCCTGATAGAGGGAGCTCTACCACGATAGCCTTCTCCCCTCGCGAAATCTTGGCAGCGATCCCGATTCGTTTTCTGAACTCATTGTGAGACAGTCTCGAGGTTCTGCCCTATCTAGTCGCTGATAAAGGCGACATCTACGTGACTCCCCGGATCACCGTTCCCACAACATAGAGGCGAGGTAAGGGAGAGAACGGTCCTACGGAAATATCTTCGCAGGCATTTACGGAGAGGCACCATGTTCCGTCTGACTGGGATCCGAGCAAGACGAGCTTGAATGGAGAGATTCCCCGGGAGTTGCTTTATCCGCAACGTTGTATCCCTGATCACTTTGCTTCGGAGTGCCTCGATCCGGATTCCGGATCCATAAATTGGAGGCTCTCCCACCAGAATCACTCCATTTCCTCTAATTGAGGGGCATGTCCATGAATTTCACAACCTCGGCGTGGGCTGCCCTCTGATAGAGCCTGCCCGTTGAATACAGGAAACTCGGTATTTCACCGAGGGCGAGATTGGCGGAACAAAGCGTGAGAGATTTTCGGAAGGAGCTATTCGGGCGGGAAGTATTGGGGCGGTCAGAGCTCCATCGTCGCCCAGGGTCGCATGAGCATATTACATCGCAATGTATGAGCGGAGTAGACAATGCGGGCCCCCTCAGCATCTGTGCATGGAAGTCTCCAAGAGCTGTTATCGATTCCTCTTCAAGATGAGGAAGGGACACGGCCGTGCGAAAGATTCTCCCGAGCCGTGGCTGACTGGGAAGAATAGAATTCCGGCATCGAGTGAGTAGCATGACCAAGAGCATGTATCGAGATGACTACAGCCCACGTGACCCGCAGTACTCCTGGCGGCGCTCATTTGAGCCCATGCTGGTCCAGGATGGGAAGGAATACAATCTATCGATACCGAAAACGAAGTAAATTGAAGCCGAAATTCTCGCTACAAGTCATTCCTTGGAATGAGTGGCGCGAGCGATATTAAATGTCGCTTGCATGAATGTCAGGATGAACTCGCAGTGAAGAAGAAAAGCGGAAGCTTCTCCATCAAGAGGAAAGATCAAGAAGTCATAAGACCTGTCATAACTCAAGTGACCACCCGTGAGTCCTTTTCTCGCTCTATGGGCGAGAAGAGCTCGATTCAGTGATGCCTTTTCTTGCTTGTGCACCTTGACTCTTCGAGGAGTGATTCCTTGAAGCTCGTACGTGCGCGATCTTGCTCTGCAGCTTACCCCCGATGTTTCCGCGGCGGGGGATTCCCGATCGAGCTCTGCACAGCTAAGGTCGTATCCAGGGAAGTCGTTTTCCTAAATTGACTCTGATCTTCGAAGGCGTAGAAGCAAGGCCCGAGGAGGAATTCGACATCTTCGACGTGCCCAACCTCGGCACGGTGCTTCCCGGGACTTTCTGGCTGAATAGGTCAGTGAAAGCGGACATTGTGGAACATCTCGCTGATATCGAGCTGAACGAGCCCATAGGCCAAGGATCATTCGGAACAGTTTTCAAAATCACGGCTGGGGTCGCTCACGTACGTTCACCCTCCCTCCACCCCTGATCTTCACATAGCTCTCCTGGACAATGTTGCATGTAGATCCTAGACGGAATCCAGAGATGAAAATTCGAGAATATGACCTTCCAGCAGACCCATTTTGGAGCCCTGAAGTGCGTCCAGAAATCGCAATCCGAGGAGGACCAACAAAGAGAATTAGTAAAAGTCAAGTGTGAATTCAATGCTTGGAGAGTAGTCGCCAGCCATCCGAATGTGATTACATTGCTTGGGTTCTTCGAGACAAACCGGAACTGGTGTTTCCTGATGGAATTCGCGCCAACGGGGAGCCTCAGCCAATACCTGAAAGAGATCGGTAATGAGGAGTATATGACTCCTATTGGAGAAGCAGAGACACCACTAATGCACGGAGCACCTGGTAGAGGATTGCTGGATCTAGCGTCGATCAGTTATCTTCTTGCTTCCATACGGGCTCGGCTCCCTTGGAGCAAACGGGGCTTCTCTGACGAATAGCGACGAGAGGTCCTCCGTTTTTGTGGGGCCAACAAAACATTGGCCCGTCAGTCATCGATTCGATTCTCAGACGGTACCAGTCGAGAGCTGTCATCGATATCTGTTTCGGTCGAATCCCGCTCCGTTAATGGAGCTGTGAGCTTCGTCGTCGACAGGCTCTCCATCTTGAGAGAGTAGGGAACGTTCCCTGCAAAGTTTCTTTACGCATTGCGAAGCCGGCGGTCATAAGAATTATCTCGAAGATTAAGACTTCTCCATCCTTCTATCAGGAATCTCTGGACAACTCTAGCTTGTATTCGCAGATGGTCCCATGACCGAACCACAGTCGATGCGCCTGGCGGGTCAGTTGGCTCATGCGGTCCAATGCGTACACAAGATGGGCTACTTACACCGTGATCTCAGTTGCTCGAACGTCCTTCTGTGTCCTTCGAAGTCGGCGACCCGGCTCCTCGATGCGAAGCTCACCGATTTCGGCTTGAGCATACGGGGTCACGTTTCGAGCAGCAGATGCGGATCGCTCGCGTACATGTCTCCTGAAGTCTTGGAGAAATCCCCTTATGGTGTTGGGGCAGACTGGTGGTCCTATGGTATAATACTGTACTCGATGTTCGTTGGCAAGACCCCGCTGTCGATCTACGCAAGGAAAAAGGAATAGACTTGGCCATTCTTTCGAGAGATAAAAGGTGTTTCCGTAAATATTCGAGTGTTCACTGCGATTCGAAGCCTCAGACTCTCCGCAATCGGCTGTTTGCCAGTGCTCTGATCGATAGTACAACTCTTTCACGTGCGACTAATCTCTACACGGGAGGAGGGAATCGGAGCGAGGCTTAGATGCAACTGTATCGATAGGGATGACGCCCCAAATTGAATTCTGAATTTATCGATTGCTTTCTAGGTACGAGTTGGCGAAAAATGTTACGATACACATCAGCCGACGTCTGAGCTCAAATCAAAGATCCCTTCTCATCGACCTTCTCAAAGATGACCCAAGCGAGCGTCTGGGGGTGAAACAATTCGAGGGCAAAAATGACGAACCCGGTGACGAATTCGACGGATTCAAGAATCATCCATTCTTCAGAACTTTCAATTGGAATCGATACACCGAAGTCGAGCAACGCATCCTGGGCTCTAAAAAGAAAGGGGCCTCAGAAGAAGACCTCGCTTTGCCGCAGGCTATAAACGACAGAGCTCTACGCTCCCCAAAATTAAAATTCCCAGCCGACAGGAGCCTGAGTGACGAATAAAGAAGCGTGGAGGCATTTCTACAGACTTCGTGTTCCGGATATGCTCGTTGGATTTTCAAAATTTACAGTGCTTCGGACGGAACGACGATCGTCATTCCGCATAATACAAGGTCTCTGTACATCTCTGAGATATTCACACCAATCACTGCCGGAAACCGTAGTCATGATCACCATGGTACGCCGTCGGCCTGATATCTTCGTCTCGTTTTGGGCATATTCTCCGTTGTGGCTTCTCCTGATTGAGATCCTCATCCTCGTTATCGATCGTATTGTGTAGCATCAGACCGAGGACACCGCCGCGACTCGTCATTTGCATGTGCACTATCCTCTCTTGATCGGTGAGCTCCTCGCGTTTCAATCTGCGAGAGGGATCATCAGGCTTCGTCAGGCGCAGAAATGGAAGTTCATCGACAGCGGGCTCAGGAGAGACCCGAAATACCCAGATCGTCGTGAAGTTTCAGTGCTTACCTCGCCCGGATGATGTCATTGTCTATTTGAGCCCGCTTCAAGCGCTCCCATGAGATGTGTTTGATGCATTTTTTCTTGGCCAGTCGGCAGAAATCGACGTGCTCATCATCGAAGAGAATTTTCTGCAACGGGAAGCCGCAGACCTCGCTGTCGAGAACTTTGGGCTCCTGGAGGTAATAAAAGTCTAGTGAGTGACGTAATTTGCCTTCGGACGTGTCTCGACGGGATCTTCGTCAAGATATCGACGACATTTGTGCCCATCAGGGCCGGAGGACTCGACTGACCCAGAACCACTTCCAAGAGCTAGCGTGCATACCTTATAATGTTCCGGACAGAGAATTTTCAAACGTTTGCAGTAGGTCTGTTGAGATGCATTGTAGAACTCGCAGAACAAGTCAACGAGATCGTTCTTCGTTGGGAATGCGCTCCCGTAGGATGTCTGACTCTCGAAGCGATTGAAACAGCGCTCCATGTGGCGGTTGAGGGTCTTCGATGAAAACTCGTGGCCGCATGTGACGCAATAATTCATCTCTGGGTCTTCCCCATCTTCAACATCCTCTTCGGTGATGGTTTGGGACTTCCCTTTCTTAATGAGCTCCTCGAGTTCGTGTTTCTTCCGTCGACATCCGATCTCCTCGAGTTCCGCTTCTCGGATCTGTAACCTGGGAACATATAGGGCTAATCAACAAGCTGCTCACGCGCGAACGAGGACTTTGAGAAGACTGCCCAGAACAGAAACTTCGTTCTGATACATGAGTTCCAGTCGGTCGGCAATGCTCTGATTGAATGCGGAGGGAAGCGAAGGAACTTGCCTGATTTTTTGGAGAGCCTTCTGATTCGCTATATCCGCTTCAGATGGTTTTCTTTGCCAAGCTTGGATCCTAGCCGGCAGGATCTCGAATATGCGGCTCATGGCCAACTTCATGCCGCATTCATCAGAACAGTACTTTGAATTCGGCCGTGACGACTGAACACACTTCGGTCCGTGACATTGTTGAGGTTCTGCGGTCTGGGTACTCCAAACATCTTCTTCTCCACGGCGTCTCGTGCGCTTTGGTGCAGCTTGCTGAGGAAAAGATAAAAATACGCTTGAATCAGGAAAATAAGTCTTGAGAACGAGGCGAAGGTGTTCGTGGCTCATTTGGTCGATCATGCTGCGTTGAACCGCTCTAGCTAACCTCAGGTTTCCTGCGGGTTGCACGTTTCGCGCCTCGGCTGAGTTCGGGCGGTACGTATTCATCATCGTTCTGATAGCGATCTTTCTTCCGTTGCATCTCTTCCTCCTTCTCCTTCTCCTTTTCGCGTTTCTTGCGTTCTTTCTCCCGACGCTTCCGTTCCCTCTCGCGTTCCTCTTCTTCCAGACGAAGCCTCTCGGCCTCTTCTTCCTCGCGTCGCCGTTTTTCGCGTTTTTCCTCTTTCTTCTTCCGCTCGACCTGGGGGCGAAAACGGAATTAGGCGGCTGTAATCGTCGCAGATGATGGGAAATGGGAGATCATGACGAGATCCTCACGGGAAGACTCGTTTCTTGCGCGAAGTTATCAAGTAGTAGACGCCGCTGGCGGTCGAAGGGCATGTCATAGAGCAACAACTCGACAATCAATCCCGTGATTGCACGCTCACTAGGTAGAATGACCGGACGGTCGGAAGAAAAATCGATGCTTGAGCCAGAAATCAGGGGCCACGCCGGCATAGCTCACCTTGCAGATCCGCTTCCGACAACGACGTCCCTCTTCACAGCCTTCACATTTGCCGCAGTCTTGCGTCCTGAAGCAGCCACTGCAGTCTCCACAAAACGTTCCCCTGGCTTGCGTAATCTTCTCGTTCTTGTGGATGGTCTTCAAGGAGGGGTTGTTCGTGCGGCAAATCAGGCAGAAAAACTTCGAAATCGATTTTGCGAACTGCTCTGTGATCGAAATGCAATCTCCGTGGTACCATTCGTTGCAGTTGTCGCATCCAATCATGAAACGCGATGTGTCCGTGGTTCTACATATGCAGTAAACTCCTTCCTCGTTGTCCGACATTGTGACCACCTGATCTGAAGCGCCAAAAGTTTTTTTGGAGAAACCAGCGTTTGTGTAGGAGTGTGGAGGTCCAGACTTCCGCGTGCATGACCGACGGAGATACACGACGGTGGTTTTCAAGATTCGAGATCTTCAAGATTCGAGGCAGTCAATCTGAGAGACCCTTCACTAGCCCGGGGTAGGGAGTATTGAAGTCGGAAACTGTCAGATTCGGCTTCAAAACATACCGACCGCAAACAAGTATCCGCGACCGTCAGGAGCCATGGCTCCGTGTTGACCTCATCAGCCACGATTGACGCCTCGGATCGCAGAATTATCGAGTGGCGGAGAACTCACCTTCCTTTGGAGCTGAATCTACGAAGATAAATTAAGTTGGGGAAATATTTGGAACACCGATGAGCTCCTTTGTTTATTCGGAGCGCTTCGACCTTCCCAGTTCCGACATTTAGCTCTGCGCGAAAGTCTCACGGGACGACCACAGCGCCGTCTGCGATATATGTCGGCATGTCATCTCGACGGAATCGGCAACCGTCGATCGATCTGGGACTCGGTTCAGAACCCTCCGCGCCTAAGAAATATGAGCAGGACCTGATAAACTAGAGTCCAGAACCATGAGCCGGGTCAGTTGATTTTTCTTGTAGTTCATAAAAAATCCGCACGTGGCGCTCCGATGCTTCCGTCGTCGAAAGGCACCGAGTGCCTATGGTAACGGAGGCGCGCTGGAGGACTTTTCGAACATCGCGGAAGCCGGCGGCCCCTAATACAAACAAAACACGCGGTAGCAGCGTGCTTCTGCTGCTGTCTCTCCACGGAAATCAGTTCGAATCTTTCAACATCATCGTTCAGAAGGTAGGTCGACACCCTGGAGCGAATCGGAGCCTGATACTCGCTGTACCAAGCGTCACGATGAAGCGAAGTCGAAGTCGTATGATTTCAATGTCAAACCAGAGCCCCGGAGCGCGGTTCTCTTCGTCAAGCTGCGCGATTCCCGGAAGATCGATTCTGCGGATACTCTACAGAGGCATTTGTGAACCTGCTCCATCTGCGATCAAAGTTCATCCACGAACGGCCGAAAATCGATGTAGGAGACTCCTGTAGAAACCCCGGAAAACCCTCAGAGCAAGAACCTCTAGGAGACTTTGTAAGCAGCGCATTTAATTGCAGAGACGCATTGATGCTTCATGTACGCCGACTCCTGAACTCTGCCGCGAAACATCGTTACGATGTCATCGTTGTCGGTGGCGGTCACGCGGGATGCGAGGCCGCATCGGCCGCTGCCAGAATGGGCGCGTCGACCGTTCTCATAACTCACAGATTCGACAGCGTTGGAGAGATGTCATGTAACCCATCATTTGGAGGAATCGGCAAGGGCCACTTGATGAGGGAATTAGACGCTCTAGGAGGATTGTCCCCAGGATTGTGCGACCTATCCGGGACCCATTACAAAGTTCTGAACCGTAGCAAAGGTCCAGCCGTGTGGGGCATCCGAGCCCAGATCGACCGTGATATTTATAAGGCCCACGTTCAGAAAGCCATACAGGAGCATGAAAATTTGAGGCTACTCGAGGGAACCGTCGAAGATTTGTGCCTCGATGAAGGAACGTGCACTGGAGTCTCCCTAGACAGCGGCGAAGTCATCGAGGGCCGGGCCGTCATTTTGACGACAGGAACGTTTCTGAAAGGGATGATAAGCATCGGCTTGGACACCTGGCCGGCGGGTAGAATCGGAGACAAACCCGCGATCGGTCTAGCGAACACTTTGAATAAACTGGGTTTCCGGTTGGGACGATTGAAGACAGGAACTCCGCCGCGATTGGTGAAAAATTCTATAAACTTCGAGGTGCTGCAGAAAGTCGATTGTGACAAGCCCTCAGTCCCCTTCTCATTCCTGAGCGACAGAGTTTGGCTCGAGCCCGAGCAACAACTACCTTCACACATCACTCACACGGAGCTCGTGGCTGAGGAGATTGTCAAAGCCAACATGCACCAGAACGTTCACGTGAGCGAGGAGGTCACCGGACCCCGGTACTGCCCGTCGATCGAATCGAAAGTGCTACGCTTCCCAGGAAGACGGCATCAGGTCTGGTTGGAAGATGAAGGTTTCAGCTCCGACCTCGTGTACCCGAATGGAATATCGTGCACGATGCCTGAGCCAGAACAGCTGAAATTAGTACGTTCAATGGCGGGCTGTGAGAGAGCGGAGCTTGCAAGGCCCGGATACGGTGTCACGTACGATTTCGTCGACCCGAGGAATCTGTTCCCATCCTTGCAAACGAAAAAAGTCCCTGGACTCTTCCTCGCCGGACAGATAAACGGTACGACGGGCTACGAAGAAGCTGCCGCACAAGGGGTAGTTGCCGGCATCAACGCGGCCCAAAGTGTACAAGGAGAGAAATCTATAATATTCAATAGGTTGGAGAGCTATATCGGGGTTTTGATCGATGATCTCACCACGCATGGCACACTGGAGCCATACCGAATGTTCACTTCGCGCTCAGAATTCCGTTTATACTTACGGCCGGACAACGCGGACCTCCGTCTCACAGAGAAGGGATACAAGGTTGGCTGTGTCCACGAGAACCGATACGAAAAACTCCTCGAGACGAAAGTTGCCCTGGAGAAAGCCAGAAGTGTTTTGAAGAGTAAGAGCTACCCGTGCACTCGATGGGCCACAATGCTCCCCAGCATCGGGGTCTCGTCGAGTCCTGGCATAAGAAGTGGGTACGAAGTCCTCGAACGTGGGGATCTCGACTCCGGCGAACTCCTCGAGGCTTTCGACCATCATCCAGATCTTGCTCATGTCGTTCAGAATAGAAATCTATTCGAAAGATTGAAGATCGAAGCCATTTACGCTCCCTTCATCGAGGTCCAGACACGCCAGATAAAGGAACTCTCGCAGAATGAGAATATCGCAATACCGTCGAACATCGATTTCGCGGCGACGGAGTTGAACTTGTCGAAGGAACTCCGCGGCAAACTGGAGCTCTCGAAGCCATCAACCATTGGGGCTGCGTCACGAATACAAGGAATGACGCCGGATGCACTCCTGAGACTGCTAGGTTTTTCGAAGCGAGCCGAATGTACCGTAGATTAGAATGTCTATGATCAGATGATAAGAATGAAACTACTGTAAATATGCTCTGTTGTTCAATAAATGATAGATACGACGATGCTCCCGTTTCAAGGCTTGATCCGATCGACTTCTCATCTTCTCTCAAAAGCTTCATGAATGAGACATCTGCTATCGATGCGGTGGTTCGAGATATTGTATCTAGGTCTTCAAGACGAAAGTTTTCCAGATGGCGCCGTTCCAGCAACTAGACGACAAAACCCTGCCAGGCTATGTCACTCGCATGATATGGTCGCCGAAAATGGACTTGTTGGCTCTTGCTTTCGAATCGGGCGAAGTGGTTGTTCACAGACATAAGTGGCAGAAGGTCTGGTCCCGCCCGAAACCGGAAGACGGCGTGAGGGTCACTGCATTGAGCTGGAAACCTGACGGACTAAACCTCATAATCGCATACTCTGACTGTGAGTTCTGAGAAATCGCCTTATCGGATTCGAGGAGTCTATGTATCGGAAAAATCTTTCTTACCTTACGCAAACAGCAATAATGGCCGATTCCAGGTCATTTCGAGCTCGTTCATGTCGAAAGCGGCGAGAGTCTCTACTCGATCAACACCGATGACTCGGTCCTCAATTTCAACTGGATTCTCGACGAAACTCGAACTTCAGTTCGAGACGTACCGAATGCAGAGGACTGTCCACCCAGACTTGAATTATTCAAAAAATTCAAAGACCCGCCCCCTCCGGATAACCTCCCGCTCACCATGATGATCTGCGTGTTCAGAGAGATGCTCCTTCTGTCTTTACACGGGATCCTGCCGTGTGGAGTGATTCGTGCACCTGACTTATATTGCGCCGCTATAAATCAAGACGCCTCGAGGATATATGCTTTCGATAAAGGCGGTCATTACGTGATGCTCAAAACTGACTTGTTGAAGTCGAAGCTCGACCAATTGCACACGATGGCGTACTTCAACCGAGAAATGGAATATCTCCAAGGTACGGCCGAACATTCGATGAGGGTCGGGCAGCTCGATATGTATAATGGATTCGATGTCCCGGAAATCGATTGAATTATCTGTTGCTCCGCAGATTATCTGAACGCAGCGATAAGCCTTCTCAAGGAATCTTGGGACGATGTGATTCTAGAAATGGACACAAAGCTCTTGAACTTTTCTCAAGGACAAACCCTCCAAGACGATCTGATGGAACTCATCGTTTTCGGAACGCTGTCGGAGCCACTTAGGGACATTTTATTGCACAAGGTAATTTCGTCTCGAATTTTTCCCAATGATTTTCCCTAGATATCCGTCGGAATATTCCGAGCGGGCACAGAACTCATTCGGATTCATCTTCCAGGTCACACCGAAAGGTCTAAATAAACTAAGCTTCAGTGTTGAGGCGAGCTACACCTATCTTGCTAAGATAATTTTCACCAATGTTCTTCCGGTGAGTGATGTCTCTACTCGCATCTGACTGACCCTGATCCGTCTCTCCCTCTCCCATGTCGAGAATGCTTCACAGAATATTGTCGAGCAATAAGCTCTCATAGAAGAGGGAGGTTCGAAGTCGCTCCTCGTGGAGAACTTCGACGCTGAGTGATGGGTTTCGTTCTTCCCCGTCCACTCCTTTCGGCAGTCCACTGACGGATCTAGATCTCGAAGTTTTCCCACGATTTATTTCAGGCCTGTCAGCGGCTGTTCTACCAGATCCATCAAATCAAAGGTCTGGCGCTCTGGACGGAATGTCACGGATGCAACTTGTCGATCGAAACGCTCGAGAGCATCAGTCGAGCAATTCGTCAACTGATGCTCAAAGTGTACGAGGTTCAAGAGGTATGCAGCCTTCGCTCGATGTCGACGAAACTAATGCGAATTGGGCAGTCAATTCTTCCCGGATTCATTGACACACCCAACTTCTCAGGTTGCAACGTGGAATATAGGGAACCTTAAAGCATTCTTCCGATGGCTCCACGCGACAGTCGTTTCCCTGAGCGATGATGCGAACACAGATGACACACAAGTCCAGCTCGCGGGCGATCTGGCCAAGGTAAACCCTCGACTGGTTTCGATATGGACTCTAAGTTCATGATTCCCGACCCCCGACGTTCAAGTCATCCTCGTTTCCCCCAGGTGTCCGCATATTTGACAAGTGCCAGGGGCAATGATCTTGCCTTGGACCAGGTCGGACAATACTTCCAAGACAAGCCACTCGATACCCCAATCAGTAAGACAGTCGTTCCAGATTGGAGAAATCCATTGTATTGTCATCTCCTTATTATTATTATCGCTCACCTAACCTGAGAACGGGTGAGATCGAGCACCGAATGTTCTATAAGGGGTCGACCCCTCAACGGAAGCTGTATTCTTGCAGAGGAGTTCGGCATCCCGGAACTCCGCCGAATCGGTTGGTCGGTACATCGGAAAGAAACGTCGCTCATCCAAGAATACGAGAATTTCAAAAAAGTCATGAAGCAGCTCTTCCAAGGGCTTGGTTCGGGCTTCGTGAGGGACGTCCATCCCGAAAGAATAACAGGTCCTCTGGCGATCGGTGAAGATTGTGTTTTCAGTCAGTTGGGTAAGCTTCCGACTCGCTCCCTTCTCGATGAGAATTTGTGTTGGTTGTGGAAGTTCTCCCATGGATCCCAATGCCTGTATGCATGCTTGTGCGGGGACTGATCCATGGGCTAGAATGGTCTTCGTATCAACTCGACTTTGTTCCGAATCTCTTTCCAGTGTCGGAGGCTGATGTGCACACTTGCATCCTCCCCACTGTCGGCTCACAGTACATGGTGATTTTCAAGAACGAAACCTTCTGCGTGCTGAAGTTTGGAGCTTTCTTCAGCACGCCTCTGGCATCAGATGGCGATCAACTGAAGAGCATCGTCTCGGCGCAGATGTACTCGCAGACAGTTGTGACTCTAGTTCTTCGCGATGGGAATACCACAATTTTGGCGCAGTTCCCACTTGACCGGGTGGAGAGCCCGCATTGGAGGAATGTCTCAGATCTCCAAGATGATTGGCGCAATATGGCTCTGGATGCGGGGTCAGTGCAGCTCTTCCATACGAATCGAGCCCTCGGTGACCTACATGCTATTCGGGCTTCTTCGGAACTGGAATCTAAATCGAGCACATCCTTTTCTAGAGCTTTCATCGATAAAATGAATCACCGCATTCTGGAGAATTGTTGCCCAGGTGAGCAGATACTCGCCGTGAGTGGACCCAGAAAACTCTGCTGCGTCAGGGTCTCCGGACGTAGGATGCGTCTACTAGAGATGGACGTCAGCGACGACGAGGACGACGATGAGGACGACGATCAGTTACATATAGAAGCAGAAGGGGAATCCGACGACGATGCTTAGGAGAGGACCGACGTTGAAAAAAAACTCTTTCCGGTTCTCTGTGCTGCATCGACAACTCTGTGGCCGGCTTCTCGATGTGATCTCTTTCGCGACCCATAGACCTCACCCTCAATAAAGTTTGCGACCTATTTATTCTCATACTTATGCGACTTCTTCAATGTTCATCCCCGAATCGCATGGCCTCGGCTCTGAGCGTGGGGCTTAATTACGAGAAGATGGAGCTATTCCGGTAGAACGAGTGACTTTGCGACGTGGCCACTCCGTCGAGCCCTCTTGGCGCTTTGCTTTGGCTTCACAAAGCCTCCACTCCAGACCACTGCTTCAAACTATCGCTGTAGAGTTAGCAATGCGGTTTAGTTGATCTAGGTTGTGATCGATCGAAAGTCCTCGATCGAGGCGCTGGAAATTCGCGTCCTCCAATCCATCGATATACCTACACTCGGATGTTGACAAACAGAACATTGCGCTTGTCTCAGGAGAGCTCTCAACGACTAGCACGGTCGAACATAAGGGCATCTCGAAGAAACTCCGGCTCAAGGTCGCTGTCGACGAATACAGCCCACATCCCATCGAGTCGAGCGCCGTCGTCCACAAAGTCCCTGTCAATGCTGAAGCGGTTTGGATATTATTAGGATGACTCGAGGCTCATACGCTCCGCGCAACGAAATCACGCCAAAAAGCTGTAGCTGTGGGCTCTCGATGAGGGAGCATCTCTCTCGTGTTCTGGAGAGCCTACTGTCGCCCGGGTCGTGTACACCAGAGTTCCGGAAACGCTGAATGATGTTGCACGACTGTCGACGTCCTAACGCTTGCGAAGTTATGCACTCTCTTTGCTCAAAATCCAATGGCTTCGCCTGAGGCTCACTCCAGTGCGAGGATGAATACGGGGTTCCATCTCGCTACTGGCTGCCAACTCCATAAAAACGTGTGAGATCGTTGATACGATTTTTTAATTCATTCAAAAACTATCTCTGCAGTCGGCATCGGCTCTCCGAGAGTGGAGCCGTTGGTCACTGCAGGGGTCGAGCTGATCCTACTTCAGGCACCGTGTCCACTTCACGAGCAATTCGGCTGAGTCAACACAGCACGCGGTATCATGCCTCAATACTTGAGAACCGAGCTGAGTGAGTGCGAAGCATGCACCTGAACCACGTCAAGAATCTCATTCGTCGGCGAGGTGACCGGTCCACCCCTTTGACAAGATCGCACCGAGGGCAGAGTGCTTCGATATCTACTTCGACTCGCTATGCTCATATTTCGACTTGGCAAAAATGATTCGCGCTGCTGCGTGATCCGTTTTAGCGGAAACAAAATTCCATTCAGCTTCAAGGCGAACTCGATTTATTGGGTGAGTCAATATCGGTTGGTTTAAAACTCGAGTCAGCCCGAGATAATTATGATGCTTTTTCTCAAGCATAGCATCTGAGCAAGATAGCGTATAGGAACACTTCCGCACTAGAACAAGAAGCAGAACATTGACGACTAGAAAGCATAGTACATTACTGCTTCAGCGACAGTTCCTGCAGAGTCATGTCCGGAAGAGCTTGAGGCGATCGGATATTGTTGATCCCCCAAGTCTTGTACGACGCATCCTCGGACGTCATCGCGAATTTGTTCGAAAGCGCCGAATTGATGACAAACAGCAACTGCTCGCTCTGCAGACTTGAACCGTCGAATGTGTGTATTCACCGACTCGAAGCTACAAGCCCGATTCCGGAGCCAGAGCTTTCCCCAATCCTTTTGCGCGGGAATCTCCTCGATAGACTGATGCTTCTGATCACAATCCTACTGGTTGGCCAAGAATGCAGCGTGAAGCTCAGTCAGGCGTGCAACGATTTTCCGCTCGATTTCAATGCCCGCACTGAGCTCCTCTAGGCTCATTCTGATTTCTTCGCGGTCGGTCCGGCTGACTAGAACCACGCGTTCTCTACGACTTTCAAGATCATTCGCGATGACCAAGCGATGCTTGTAGTTCTCGAGAGCAGCATGAGCTTTGTCGAGGAGTATACTCTCGTTGGTTTCCAATTTGAATGAAATCACGAATGCGTCGGGTACCCACGATAGAACGAGCGGTTTGAGAATTTTCGGTACGAGATGGAAATTGAGGGACAGCTGAGAGTCGGAGCTTATTTTATGCTCGGACATCTTCTCGGGTATCACGTAGAAGTCGCTCACTGCAGCCGCCAAATAAAGGACTGCGTGTTTGCCCAGAGGAGCCAGATGCAGAGCAGCCGCCCTCAAGAGGAACAGATAGTCGGCGACCGTCGTAAAAGACACTTTCAGCAACCTGTTCTGGGCCCGAGCCGCTTCATGGCGTGATACTTGTTCCCCGAGGAGACCGCGAACCTTGTTTGAAATTTCCAGGGTTCCATTCTTTGCGTTGAATAGATCGAGTACATTGCCCTTGATACTACGAGAGAAAGGTTCGAGAGAGTTTTGCCTATGCATGTAGATCACAGCGTACCCGGCGTCCAGGAAATACTCGGCACTGGCAGCACCCCGGTTGCCGAGACTGATGTTGTCCACGAAACGAACCGTTTTTTGCTCCAATGGGACCGTAGTGCCTCCCGCGGTGATGAGTATGACCCTGGAATTCTTCGTCATGTGGTAATCGCAGAAGTCCTTGATCCTCTGCGAGCGTTCTTCGAAGTTCGCGCACGGCTCGTTCTTCGAGAAGAATTCAGAATATTCCGCCATCGTCGGATCTGAAGCAAGGAGAGCAGGGTATATGAATCCAAGGTTTGGGTTTGAGAAGAGGTATCGTCTCGATTTTTCGTCCCGCCAGCAGGAGCAGATGGAGGGAGTTAGAATTCACTAAACAAGAATGGAACAGCCACGAGGCTTCGCTGGACAAAGTAGTCCCGAGATGCGAGGTGTCTATGCGAAGAACGTACTCATTAGGTCCGCCTCGGAATCGCGTAGCAACCCCATCTCCGATGTCGTATCCGGTGCCAGCGGTCGTGAATCCTCCGTCTTCAGTGTGACGATTGGATTATAAGCAGGAAGACGAGTGGAAAGGACCATTAAAGTGTGCCATCAAAGTGAAACACTCAGACTTTGAGCTCTAGGCCATGTCTCTGTCGCGATCATCAAAATGAATCACTACGAAGCCAGAGGCGTATTAGGTGAAGAATGGGGTCAACGAGTTTCATAGATTCCGGGTAAGCGCCGGCCTCGTATCAAGAACTATGAGCCATGAGAGGGAAAGGGCAGTGAGGTCCGAATTCGGCTTTCTTACGGAGATTTTTGGGGGAAATAGCGGTGCGGTTTGAGGATATACATATCTAACAGATTGGGCGGCTCTGTCAAACAAATTCGGCTCACGGTGAAAGGCACTCGTCCATTGTGAACATTTGATGGCAAGTAGCTCGAGGAGGTCTCCTTGACTGAAGTAGATGAGGCTGTGTCGACAACGAAAATAGAAAAGGAGAAAGTATGCGAGTACTCCAGGGACAATGTGGAACCGGTTCTATCCGCTCAATCAACGTCAAGCTCGGGCTACTTGAAACGCGTCGCGCCGTTCGATGCGGTGAATCGATGCCCTCGAGGCGGTCTACCATAAGAGAGATCATGCAATTCTATCCCATTCGATACAAACCTCCTACGCTCGAGCCGGGCGTTGAGCGATGACTGCCCCAGTGCAGCGAGTGCGACGGGCTGTCGGAGTCAGAAACAGATCTTGTAAAGTCGACTAGAACTCTACGCTCGGCAAAGCGTCCGTAATCGAGAACCAGCCGCAGGGCGTAATAGGAACAACGTTCTTCTCTCCAGCCTGTTTCGGCTCACCGTTTCGGAGAACATCTACAGTCAAACCCCGATTTGAGAACGTCCCGACTTACGGATTCTTGGATTCACGAACTCTTTCCCCGGATGAACCTGCCTCGACTCACTTTGAGCTCTAGGCCATGTCTCGATTTACGGACGATTTTCTGAACGGATTAGTTCCGACTTGCGAGAATGGAATCGGCTCGCGAAGCATCTCTTGGAACTCCTCCTGGAGCATCGGGAATCTCGGTCTCGAGCACGTCTCCGAATGCGACGCAGCATGCTCAACTCTTCGCATCGTTGGAGTCGTGGATGCGTCGGCGTCGTTCGAATGCTCGTCGAAAGGATGCCCCGATAACGGACCGCTGACGGAGAAAAACTCAAGCGAATGTGCCTGCCGATAGCTTTCAAGAAGAAGCTGGTAGGGGAATATTGTGGAGGTTATAGTCACACGAGATAGGGGACACGTTGCAAACTCTCCAAGTCGACCGTAGCCACGATCATCAAGAACAAAGACGAATTCGAGAATGTGAAACCCGCCAAGGGTTGAATATATTGAACGTATTGAATTATTGAACCCTCAGTCTCGAATGGCGGCGCTCCTTTGGTTCGATGTTCCCGCTTGAGACGCATCACTTGACAACGAGCACCACACCCTCTCAAGCGAAGTTCCCCTTAGTGACAAAGCACGTCAAGCTCCTTGGGAGAGGGAATGTCGATCTTTCGGAAACTACATACTTGATAATGACCAGGAAGTCAGAATTATAGAGCTTGCTTCTCCGATCCATCTCAGAGCCATTCATTCTGAGAAGCGCAGCCAGGAGGATTCCAATTACCGCCCCCAGGCGAAGATCGATTTCATACAGATCGAGGATTCGAGGATTGGGTGTGATCATCATGAAGGAGCAAAATCAATCCACAACTCTGGATACCGAAGCCAGAGAGCGCATATGAAGAGAATCCAGGACCCACTGTCGAGCCCACCTCACGAACCGGTGCGGGCTCGACCAATTGAAAAATCATGGTCATAAGTTCATTAGCTAAAGGCTGGCTTGAGCGTTGATGTCCTGGGATCCTTCTCTCGGAGGAACACTTCGGCCGGGGCCATGCTAGAAGAGGTGATGCATCAGAACTATGGGATGGTAGTTTATCAAATGACTGCAGGGCTCCCCACAGCCCGTCGGCCGCTACATAGTGATTCCTCCTATGGTCCGCGGAGGGATGATTCCCTATAGTACCCGGCGATTGGCTTGAGATTAAGTCTCGTCTCTTTGATCCGGAGTCTTCTCCGGTTTTCATCGTTTCCGCAGGAGCCTAGCACCATTCCCCAACAGCCTCGCATTCTCGGGTGTTCTATGAACTTGCGCTCCCGGCTCGCAGATGGTTTTGTTCCGTAGTATGGTATTGCTTGTCTGCGCATCTTCTATAGGCGATGTTCATGGGCTGGTTAGTTGAATTGGATGATCCATGGATAGCTCAGAAGCCTTCCCCGGTCTGTCGAACGTTCTCCGCGGGCTCGACCGAACGCGGATGCTCAAGAGAAGAGACAGCTCCCGGGAGGCCGGTCAGCAACACCGGGAAAGTAGACGAGCACCTCGAAGTCAAGGGGATCTCCCAGAAGGTTGTAAAAAGTCGAACCTGCTGTACTCCTGGGGAGTTGAGGCGGCTGAACCAATGTACCCCAAGATCCCGAAAGCCGGGGGAAGGGCTTGAGACCGTCGACAGCGGGACCTAGAGGACTACCTCTCGAAAGACGTTGTTTATCGTATGATCTTCCAGAATGCCCCTCGTTTGCGGGAAGCGTCCGTCATCTCTCTTGACGAAGTCCTGGCGCACCTCACACATGGATACCGGGGGCTCAGCAACTTTCAGGAATGTCGCTTGCTCCTAAGATAGAATAGAATATCTTAAGTGCCTTGGAATGAGGTCTAATTCAGTCGGGTCCGAGGAGCGCCGGCAGGTGAATCTCCAGTCCGCGAGTCCTCAATGGCGACTTTCCCGCTGTGCCGCTAGGAGAGCAATCGGAGCGGAATTTTGAGGATAGAGTCACCCAGTATCAATAACTACCGAGAAAAAAGTCACAGTGGTAGTTTCATGGACACGACCGTAATGTAGGCGTGAAAACGTCTCCTTGACCTCTTTTGAAGGTTGTCTGGAGGTATTAGAGAGAGTATGGTCGAACATACAGGGAAAATTATTCAGGCAGTGCTCTTCAGTCCCCATCATAGTATTTTGCCGTGAATATTCAGATTCGGACTCTAGCGCATCGCTAAGATCCAGGTGTTCTATACCTTCATCAGCTATGGAATCAGCTCCAATGAGGGAATCCTTGAAGACAGACCAATCCACCTCGATATTGTGAAGCTTGTAGAGGGGTCACTCGAGCAAATATTGTAGCCATCTTCACACTGATAATTTTTTCATCAATCCGCTGATGTATGATGATTCATGAATGATTTGTTTCTTCAGGTTGACATTGAATGCAAAGTCGTCATCTAAACCACGCGGCAGGGATCGCACCATATTGTCAACTTCCGCGGGCACATTCATCACCTGGTCAATGATACCATAAGAACCCTCTCGACTTAGGCGACGGATCTGCATGGAAGGTATTCGCGGGGAGATCAGTTTTTCGGTAATGGGATCTAATTGTAAGTCTGGCAAGTTCGATGGCTTGGGGGGTACACATATCCATTCGTCCTACTCATTGCCGGGACTTTGTTTGTTCGACTCACTCTGAAACAAGGGCCGCAGAGTCTGGAAATGATCGTATCCTCGCCTGGGAAATGGTTGGATAGCATACACGCCATTCGAGCGGTCACTGCCTTCCAATCCCGCTCAAACCATAGCTGATCGCACACATTGCACGGTTGTCCGAACTCATTCTCTACGAAGCTACGGCAGATGCATACGGATGCTCGTAGCCGGACATGGAACAGTTCGGAAGATCTTGCTGAATCCGGGTCAATCCGTTCAGAAATCGCAGATAAATGAAAGTTCGCTTTCCGGGAACGGGTCGAGGTTTATTCGTCGAGCTTGCCACCCTCCTAGACGTTCTGGTTTCGAATGTACACTCTATCGCTTGCGCCACGCCTATCTGCCCAGCTGTCGCGAGTATTGTGGAGGAGTCGGCGGAGGAGTCCTGTGAGTATTCATTCACCGTCGGGAAAATGTGTTTTAGGATATTCGGAAAGGCTTTTTCGAGACTGTTGAAGATGCCCAGAACGACGATACAATTTCACAAAAACTGGACGGAAGAAGCCCCCAGAAAGTTTCAAGTCTTGACGGACGAGAACACGATGCGAACCGCACAAGCGAAGTTCGGTAGCCACGAAGTTGGATTAATTCCGTTACACGAAAGACGAAGTGCATCCGACCGACCACCTGAGCCATATTGAAGCTGCTTCACGTCAAAACTTCTGCTAGTGCGGGCGAATGAGAAGTTTTTTCTGGGGAGGTGGTCCGAACGGGAGCTCAGCAACTCTATCGAAATTCGAAAGGAAGCGATCCAGAAGGTTCCTCGAACTGTGTAGATTTCGAGGGTAGTCGCGGTTGGTTCGACAAATTCAAGACAGCACTGGCATTCACAGTGTAGTCCGTCATGAGGAAGCGGCGAACTCGGACAAGGAGGGCGCCCGAGAGTACGTGGCTCACTTAACATCCTTCGTTGATGAAGGAGGATCCTCTCCTTCAAAAAAATGCCTAACCGGACCTACGTGACTGACGAACAGATGTCGGACCCTGGTCGAAAACCTATGGAAGATAGATTGACGCCGCACAGTGTGGCCAAACCCGATTTTAGGCGGCAGAAATTATTTCAGTGAGTTTTTTGGATTATTCTCATGTTACGAACTCGTATCAGTCATCAGAGGGAATTTCTGGCTCTGAGCTCCCCGGAGAGCCGCGTACAATAACTTAGCAGGTCCGGCAGGCAGAAGATCTTTGACCTTGTTCCGTTTTGTGCCCTCCGCCGAGTCCGAGAAATTTTTCTCTGGTCGTCCCGCTCGAGGTGTCCCTTGAAACGCTTTCGATGGTTCCGGCTCCTCGGGCGCGTCTTGGTATTGGTATTGGTTTTTATTTATCCTCATTTAAGTTTCTTAAATGACACTTTCACTTCAGTGGCAAATAGTCTCAGCGGATATTGCTAGTTTCTTCCTCCCACCGCTGTAGGAGTCTCTTGGTGTCGCATATCATCCTCGAGGAGGGGTCTCTGTCGAGTCCCAGTCGTTTCAGTATTTCCTCTTCCTCGAAGAATGCTTCGTTGCATTCGCAGATGACGTGGCCTATGGTTTCCGGTACCATTCCACACTTGACACATGTGGATTCCAGTCCCGGCTCGGAGTAAGACCTGTTCTTCTTGTGCGGGTAGCTCAGTGTAGTGCACGATGAAATCGAAGTTTTTGGCTTCGCGCGATTCAGCTCCTTCAGCGAAGAACCGTTCCGCTTTCGAATTATGTCCCCCAAGTTTTTCCCTCACTCGGGACACATGCCTGCTGATCTGCTTCCTGATGTGAGATCTGTTTCTTACTTGCTCAATTTCAACATGAGCATGACTCAAAATGAGTTTCTCCAACCCATCGATGCACTCGTTCTTCCGGGAGTTGAAGATTGTCTTCGCAAATGTCCTCCGGGGCACTCAAATTCGAATATCTGAGAACAGCACGCATTCACGTTTGCCAAAACTTGCTGGTTTTTTTTTGCGGAAATGGAAGGCGGGGGGATGGAAGAAGATTTTCCACCCCATGAGCCGCCCGGGTCCGCCCTGGTCCATATACTTTTTTGACGGTGAAATTTCGTGAAAATCAGTTTTTTTTCGCAAAAAAAGATGCACTCAGAAAAACTTCTGATTTGCATATTCTCGTCGAATGAAACGCTAAACGTGAAGTTTCAGACTCAATCTTACTCACGATTCGGTGTTTGCTCCTTCCTCAATCGATTCCACGGGAACTCGAGCGTCAGCACGAATCGGAAGAGAAAAGTGACGGTCCGGAGCAAAAAGAACTACCTCTTTCCGGAGTCTCTCCACGGAGATACAAGTGCTTGGTTTCTGATTGGTGTGTGTTTCCGAGGTCCCCATACTTCCTCCAAAACGCCGCGACATAACTTTTCAAAATTTTTCATTTTCAATTTCTGCCGCCTAAAATCGGGTTTGGCCACACTGTGCGCCGCTGGAGTGCGCGAATACCAGCGGCGCTCTCAGATGTGCGCCCGGCTTGGTGTACCCTTCAGAGACTCTGGGGGTCTTCAGGCAGAAGGAAGTCGACAGAGGAAAACTTCGAAGAGAGAGATCTTCGGAAAGTCTATAGACGAAATTTCCGCTCCGAGTGTCGGGTCTTCCCTCGAAGGTAAAGGATTGCCGAAACGGGTGTCTGTTGCTTATGGACGACGCGCCCGCGCACGACCCGGAGTTGCAAGATCTCGTGAGTGAGAAGCACGACTTCATCACCATCAAGTTTCTACGGCTGGAAACAAGCCCGATCATCCAACCGATGAACCTACAGGTCATCTGCTATTTCGAAAAACTGAACACCATAGCTCTCTTCGGAGTCACCTCGAACACGAATCTGACCATCCTTTCTGGAAGGACCACTCCAAGATTCTCCACTGTGTCAAAATGATCACGCGGGCTGGGTCAAAGGTTAGCGTAAGAACACTGACTGCAGCCTGGGGACCATTGTGGCCGAGTGCGACTCGAGCACCGTCGAAGATGTCAATCAGCCGACTTCGCCGGAGGAAGAAATCTTGGCCCTCGGAGAAGCCATGGGCCTCCGAGTTGAATCAGCAGATATTGAGGAACTCTTTTCTCACTAGAAGGCAGACCTGTCACGCTGGAAGGATTGCAGAGTCTCCATGAAGAGCTCGACTCATCGTAGGATCAAGACATTGGTAACTCAGAACTTGACCAAGCAACGTCCTCTGGTGTCGAAGACCTCCGATACTCCACCGGGACAGAACTCAAGTTTTTTCTGGGAGTTGTACCCGGACTCTGCTCTCAGTGACCGCATGTTTGATCTCGTCAACCGTGAATAATTTATTTGACGGCTTCAGAGCACTGGTCTTCGCGGTCCGGTCGTGGATGCCCGATTCCGACATGCCCGTAACGTAATTGCGTTAGGCTGCGAAGACAGCCTAACCTTTTTCGAGTGTCTCGGTCCGGTTTCGGTGAGGGTTGGAGCCGAAGTTCTAGGGACGAATCGGGCATTCCGGAATCGGGCATCCAGAATTCGGGAATGCGTTCCCCAACCGTGAGACAAGCTACACTGGATGGACTAACACTTTCCCAGAAATTGACGCTGCTCACTTAATATGATAGTTCCTCTGGGCGACTTGGACCTTACATAAATTGTTTGTGGCGAGGCAATTGGTCTCGGTTTTTTTTCTGTTGTTCGGAACGGATGATTCTCTTCAATGGGGTCCTACGGGAAATTAATATTCGATTTACGAACCGTCGTCTGGAACTGATTGAGGTCGTGAATCAGGGTTCGACTGTGCTAGCAACGCCGATGACGTCACATTCCGTGAACATTGACACTGCTCTATTGACAACTCGAGATATCTTTCCCCTGGACTCGCGGAACTTTGTGTTGGTGCTCCCCGGCCCTACTTTCCAAAGGAATACAACGGCGACGGAATGTGGAGGACTTTCGGCGTCAGTCACCGATCATCTGGTCGGTACTCTGAATCTGCCGATCCTCATATCGATCCTTCAGTCCCCTTCAGGAGAGAATCCGTCTCATCTGCTCAGGCGGAAGATCACGAAGCTTCTTTTCGATCCTCCTGCGGCTCTACGGATCGGATCCGTCGATTGTGGACTGATCTGCTTCCGGACTGATCGTGAGATGCATGCTTAGTGGAGAGTGAAGAATGCACGATTCCGATCGAAAGGTTTCTCGCTTACCGTAACGGAGAACTTCGATGATCGAAGGGACCTTCTCGAACGGCTGATATGGACGCGGGGACCCACAGCAGCTAGAAACATAAGCTAGGAGTCGCAGGCGAATTGACCGTGTTTGTCGGCTACCTGTGTATCTTGCATTCCATCGATCGTTGTACTCCATTAGTGGGTCTAACATGAGAGATTCCGGAGGCATCGATGTCCGAATGCCTGCTGAGATAGGATTGGTCACCAGTGGGTGGATAGAATACAGATCTATATTGGAGCTTGTCTCTCCGCGCCTCAGGGACGACATACTGCCAAACTCACGTATTACCGGCTGCTGGAATTCGACACGCAATGCGCGGTGAGGACCGCTAATTCTTCCATCGAATCTTTGACAGCAGATGTCGACATTGATGATGAATAGCAAACAGTCCGTGTACGATTGCATGCATGGGTGCGACAATGCTCGCCCTACATACCTTGCACATGTGGACTTTCAGATGCTCGGACAGGAAAAGAATGTACATATACATATATATTGGGATTTACAGTGTGGGAGCTGGAGATCTGGCAACGGCAGAGAGCAAGCGTGGAGCCCATAGGAGCTCACCCGAAGGGAGAGCTACCGCGGCGAGACCTGTCAGGCCAGAGGCCCGTCTGGAAGAATGCCCCGAGAAATCGAGATTTTCGCATTTACCAAAGATACGTGGGTATATTCTCTCTGGCTTCCACCGATCTGCACCAGGCTGAATCTTGAGTGAAGCCTATGGAGCTGTAAGATTGCAGCTTGAATCTTCGCGCCTTCTCCGTAAATTTATATTCCTCGGAAAGAGTTCCGTCCTTTAAGCATTTGTTTTGCGCGATCTGTTTTGGTTCCCGAGGCTCTTCCTTGCCCCGCCGGACCGATTCCTACCGACAAGGTGCGGTGTGAATTCGTACTGCTGGAACGAGAGTCGAAGGATGAGACTGACTCCTCTGCTCAGGCGGTCACTTTCTGCGAGCGTCGACCAGAAACTGACCTTCGCGCGGCTATGGGCTGTTTTCGATGCCAAACACCAGAACCCGTTTAATTCCGCTGAATTGATCGCGAATGTGCTTCAAGGAAAAGACAAACCTCTTTACCATTACCACACCGATTGTGGTGATCACGTGGTGGTGATCAATTGCAAAGACATTTCTCTGCCGTGGTACGAGTGGAAGTATCGGTTAGTACACACCCTGCCGGGGGTTAGTTTTCTGTGCCACGATATTCTATCACTGATTCCTTATGCTTAAACTCTCGCAAAGTTTCATAGGAGTAGAGAAATGAGGGACTAGGCAAGGTCGAGCACCTAAGAGACAATCTTCTTGCAGTATGTATTACCATCACACCGATTACGCCGGCGGTGCTTCGTGGACTGCCGCTTGGGAGATGCACGACAAGAATCCCACGAAAGTACTGGAGAAAGCCGTCTATCGAGCACTACCAGGAGATTTGACCCGGAGACTCCGCATGTCACGTCTCCATCTGTACGCCGATGACAGCATCCCGGACGAAATAAAAGAAAACATCACGCGACAATTGCGCCAGTTGCGGAAGGTGCCAAGGAAGCTTGACGATATTCCAGAGGATGAGCGACGGAGCTTCCCAAAACTTTTCGACTTCCCCGAGAACCATACATTGTAGGCTTCCGAATAAAGTTTTGTACATTAGTAAGTTCTCACTTGGATGCTCCTCGAATACTCACTCAAATTCCCTCGAGCGAGAAACATCGACGCGAGACCTATTCTTAAGCATCAGAGATGTTTTTGTATGCGGAACTGGGCTCAGTACACCGAAATGCTGCTTCTCTGTCTCAAGACTTCTCTATACTTCTCTATGTCCCTAGAATCTCCTTTTCCGCATGTCGATTCTCACGTTTCTCCGCGGCCCAGACGGATGCCGTCCTTCTGATATGCCCACATACACATCTGGGTCCTCGATGTAGTTCTCAAGTTCCCGGCTCGGTCATCGGCTTCCGAATCGAGGTTAGGTTGTTAGGGAGGGAGGGAGATTCACTTTCGGTAGAATCGAATCGACTCGACGTGACTTTTGAAGGTGATGAATCGTGGGTAGGGGGGGGTGGAAATGATGGGAATGTCTCTGGTAGATTTCCAAGGGGTGGGATGCCTCCCTTCCACACGTCGGGTATAGAATGACAGAAATGAATAGAACGGAGAAAAAACGCGAAATGTGTACCATCGCCAAGATCGTATTGCGTATAGTCGAGAGTCTTCCTCCGATCTCGTCTGAGCCGCTACAAAAACTCAAAGGGTCGAATCGCTTAGCCGCCTGGAGAAATATGTTTATTGCTGTCAAACTTCGTCGCTCTCTAGGGAACGGGGAGACCCTAAAGTGCGTGGACCCTGCAGCCTCCTTCCACCCTCGCCAGGCACAGGTCCCGGTGGTTCGGCGGATGGGAGTTCCAGTGTCGTAGAATCGATATCCGGTATTATGCTCGGTCCGAATTTCTCCGCAAATTGTGCACGGAGGATGTCTTCCCTGAGGAATTGAGGGACGGTCAAAGAGCCAGGCTCAAAACATTTCAATCATCGTCCCCGAGAAACAGGATGGCGGTAGATTTCATACCTATGGGCTCACCGATAAAATATCTCTCGCACTTTCAAATCCGCCGGAGGTTCTCGAGCAAGAGTGGGTGGATCGATCGGGGGATGAGCCTCATATATGTCGTACCACAGGGGCCGGTTGGCCCATTTCAGAGCACCCGATTTTAGAAGACCTTCCGTCCGAGAGAATATCGTGCCAAGCTTTTGGATTCTTGAACCCGCCATGAGCGAGCACGGCTTCAAAGACTGTCGATACCTGTAACCGCAAGTGGAGATCAGAATTAGAATCAATGCCTGATTCCTCACCGAATGCCGAAGAGATCGTGTATCAGGTGTACTGAATAAGGATCCACTGCGTATTCTCTCTGCTAACGCAGAGCTCCACGCGAAACCTCATGAGTAAGGTTGCGATATGAGAGGACACGTCTTTTTTTGTCCGCTTTGACCGCTTTTTGAGGGTTTACTCAGAAATGTCCGTTTTCCGGAATTTTCGAGGAAACACCGCCAAATTCAATGGAAAAAACTGAATTTCCGCGCTATTTTTTCGCCGAGGGCACCGAGGTCTCGGCTGCACAAGCGTGATCCAGAGGCGCCGGGGGCTGGGTCGGAGATTTTCTTCTCAGCAAATTATCTCTGAACGATCCCAAGGGCATCGAAGTTCAGTCGATTACTGCTTATTAGGAAAATGGTTGGAGAGTCAAATAAATTCCATGGAAAGGGCAAAGAACCTGGAATAGAGTGTCCGCTTTTGATGTCCGCCTTCCGCCCCGGTGTCCGCGCGGACATTGTCCTCTTTTCGGGAAAGAAATGTCCTCTCATATCGCAACTCTACTCATGAGCGAAGGCCTCGGAGAGTTCTCGAGAATCTTTTCGGGAGCAATTTCTACCGCATCCAATCAAAACGGAAGGGAAACATGCGCTGCTCCGTCCATCGCGACTCGGAGCACGACACGCGCAGCTCGAACAGCACGATCACTTCAGAATCCAGAAGGAGCAGGAGAAGTTTTTCGGCACTCAGAACGTCCCGGGACCGACTTACGACTGGAGGGGAAATTCTTCAGACACCCGATGACTTCTCGCGCTCCAGCAAGAAGATGTCCTGATTCGGGATCTCGGCAAGCGGAGGGACCCACCAGAGAAAACAATGAGAGAGTCGAGTCCGAGGTTTAGTCTTAGCTGACGGAAAGAATCGGACTGCCTCCGTCGCGCGAAAGAGACTTGGCCGCGACTCTCAATCAAGCCTTGTACATATCGAGGTGGGCTCAAGAGCATCCGAATGGCGGCGTTCCCTTGTTATTGACTACCAGCCTGAGGAGTTCGGCCTACGGCCGCGCTCCTTATCCTGGAATCGAGCCGGAAACATAGAGGAATGAGTCTCCCCTACTACGAACGATATTCGACTATCTGGCGTCTTCGATGAGCTACCGTCTCTGTTTTCTCAGGAAGCTGAATTCGAGCGTTGCGAGAAGACAGAGCGCATAAGTCGCTGATCATCTCCTGCGATCTCCTAGCTCTCACCAGCCAGGGAGCGCGGAGTTATGCTCGGCGTGATATCCACGATCGGCTCGACGAGGCACACGGGTAGCGGTAAATGTGCGACAAGTGTGATCCATGCACACATTAGGCTCAGGTGCTTCGTGAGTCAACGGTGGGGCCCTGGTCTCGTTTCGTTCTTCGAACTCTGCGGGAGCTGGGCCCCTTGTATCGTGGCTGAATCTTGGCGCTGCGCATATTAGCTCTAATGCAATCAAGCTATGTTCGGTTTGTGAGTTGGCATTGCGCCTCCCTAACTTGATCACCGAGTGGACGCTCGTGTTTTTATGATCCTCGCTCCGAGATATGAGCCCGAGGAGCGCTCCTGAGCGATATCAACCGCGTCCCTTATAGGCCGCCAGAAAGCGACTGAAAAAGTTTTCCGTTCGAAAAAACATCGGCGAGAGCACCATTCCTGAGGACATGCTCTCGACTACCTCGGTTCACACGTTTTCCTCAACAGAACAGCGATCGACACTCAGAAAATTTATTCTTAGAAAACTTCTTGGGACGTTCAGATCTACAGCATTATTTGGCTCCCCGCCCAGAATATGAACGCTATGAACACGCACCGTGGTCCCTGTGAAAAAGTGAAGCAACGATAGAAGGGATCCTTGCCGGAGGTCGAGCGACTTACCTCGCCCAGCACCTTGCCCTTGCGTCTCGCTTCCCGACCGAGTAAAGTAACGCCTTACTTCAGGCGTCTCGTGATATGTGTATTCCGGAGGCTGATCGCGTGACTCCAACAAGTTCTGGGGGAAGCGTCACGCCAGCTATCAGTCACTACTTCGGAACGCGAACTGATGGTGTAAGCTTATCAGTTACGATCCGAGTCCCAATCGATTGGAAGGGATAGAGACCAGTGGCGGATCCGAGGGGGGGGCCAGGGGCCATGGCCCCCCCCAAGAATCTTCGATCCCTATACAAAAGCATGGGCCGCGAGGTGGCGCGTCATCATTTTCGGCTCTTTCCCCCCTGAAAATATGACTTGGCCCCCCCCAAGAAAAAAGCTGGATCCGCTCCTGATAGAGACATCCGTGTCTGGTTGTTGTCCTCGGGCTCGAATTGACGATCGAGGGGCTCGATATCGGAGCGACTCATGGTCGCGAAGATGCCGATGGTAAAAAAAATTGAGAGGGGCCAACACGTCGAGCATTGAGCCCTCCGCGTGATCGGCTGTTCTCAAAAGGTAATATCGAGATCAACGGAAGCTTGTTTAATACTCTGACGATAAATGTCGATGATCGGCGGGCAGCTACATCTCCGGACCGACCAATGCAGCCGGGAGCAGTATTTCGATAATGAACTGGAAAACGAACGATTGCTCCACGTACGAGATTTCTCGGTTCACCCTCCTCTCGATTTCTGCAAGCCATCGATCCGTGGCGACTTCCAGGCTCGGTTAATTCATCCGGGATTCTGATCAAATGATTCGGATAGATTCTTTTCGGCTGTAACGTTCGCGATCCTACACCGGAAATTTCGCTCAACGCACGGATCGTTCGCGGCCTCTCCGCTATATAAACGCCGTGGAATGGGAATATCAGAAACATTTCTCTTCGTCACAAAATCGGCTTTCTCAAGATGAAGTTCGCTGTGTTCCTCGCTGTTTCTTTGTCTGCGACGTCCGCGCAGAACATTCTCGGCGGATTCTCGCACTTGTACGGCGTAGGTCTCGACAACATCGACTACGGTGCTGGCGGAAATGGTGGGCAGGGATACGCCGTTGGACTCGCTGGATACGGATTCTACGGACCCGAAATAGTTTCCGTCGGCCCAGGTTTCGTGGATTATGGAGCTTCGAGCCAGGACGCTTTCGCGGCTGCCGGCATCGGTCACGGTAGTCCTGGGGTCTTCTTGGCTGCCGCCAGCGCTCCTGTGGAGACGAAAGTGACGAAAGAAGGTGCAGCAGTTGTTGAAAGAAAGAAGGACTGAGTGACAACATTTCGAGTGTTTCATCCACCTCGTGCTGATGCATGAACAGCGCGCGGAATCACCCCCTCTACCGATCGGAAATCATTCTCGGAGCTTATGAGTCTGGTCGTGTCGTCAATGAAACAGTGCAATGAAATTCTTTTTGTGAGAGGCATTGGCTTTTTTTTATATCTGGGATCGATCGACGAGTTATGACCTCTGACGGGGGAACTCGCTTCCGGAAGCGCAGGCGCGTACATACCTTTCCATAGGTGGAAGGTAGAGGACGGCGGGGCCTCGAGACGATGACGCGTTTTTCCAGAACCTTCACCACTCTAGCATGAGGAGCGAAGAATCTTAAGGGGAGCCAGTACCTCCCGGGCTGGACGCCCCTCCCATCCTTTTCCCACGCTGCTGTGGAAGCATGATAGGAGACGTCCTCCCCATCGGTAATTCCATATCTCCTGGAAGCTTGGGGGAAGTTCGTTTGAGAATGAGCCCCCCAACTTAGACGTTGGACGCTCCCATCCCTCTTATATTCTCGGTCTCTCCGGTGAGTATTGTGATCCCTCGCCCTTTGCCGCGTCCAACGATGAGTACGTCGCCTGTTGCGAGAAGGTCCTCGTGGATTTC